GCCATATAACAATAAAAACCAAAATTAATATGATGATGTTCATATGATGGTTTGTTTGGACTCTATTGGATAACCGGAATAAAGACAAAAATGTCCAATTGTAAAAAAAAATATATGTAAAACCAAGTAGCACAATTGAATTTGCCCGTGCAGTGGTTTACAAGAATTAGTCACAACAAATGATTCTAACATTCATCATAAAGTTTTACATCACTTCTTTATGACCTTCCTAAATGCTTTTAGCCGCAAGACTGGACAATAATCAAGGCCGACAGTGATGCATGTCCCATTACCTATGAATGGAAAATGTTCTTGTATGCTCAAACAGTAGTTTACAATAACATTTTACTCTAACACGACAAATATTCTAGCAATCACTGCTAAAAATTACTCCAAATATACCCAGTTGCAATGTTATACAAAAGAAAATTCTAGATATAGTATGACATTTCATACAATGCAAGAGGAGACTTTGTGTTATTTTATACTGGACCTAGGACTTATCATCAGTGACTGCCACTTGATATGGCCCCTCTTGATGAAAAGTTGAGAGCCCTTTTTGGACTAAAATAGTATAGGATCTAATTACCTAGTCTTTTCAAACAGACTCTTTTCAAGACAATATGTGAGGGTTTTTAATCTGAAGTGCTTCTTTAAAAGAACTTTGGAATACCCAACTCATTGTTACTGTTATATCAAGCCTTGATGGAGCTATATGCATGATTGGTTGAAAATAAAATACACATCTAAATATTTGTCTTAGTTCTTCTCTATTCTAGGATCTACATAAATAAGAAAATAACTGGGTAAATTTGGGCGCGTAAGACGATTGTATATGCCTCAGGTACACGACTTCTGACCTTCTTACATCTGATTAACCATGTGAGGTATTAAATATTTGATTGGCTCATAAAATATTCAGGGTTGGTCTGAATAACTGATGCTGGATAAATACAGTAGAATGCTGGAAAAGCACTATTGATTTTAGTTCATAAAGCAGAAGGAAAAACTAAGACTTCAATCTTAGAATCTGGGTCATTAAGCGGAAATATTATTCCTTTGCCAAATCCCTTTCCCTCTGAAAACTAGAACCCAATCCTGAGTTTTTATTAAAATAATCAATACTACTTTATAGCATTGTTTTGGGACAATGACAGCAATTTTTCTTGATGATTGTTGGAACCATTTCAATGGGAACTTGCCGTTTGTGGCAGGCGCATGTATCGGCACACATCGGTCAGACAAGTCGTTATCTTTACAGCTGCTTTTAGTCCTTGGTTTGCGTGACCACAAAATTCACTTCTCTTTCAACATGGCATCCATCTTACAAACAGTGAGTGTAGGCCTACTGTAGTGTGTGACATTTGCGTAGTTTTTATCGCGAAGGCTGCAATTTCTGCAAGGATAGATGTTATCGCTTCCAAACCTCTGTAAAATGTTGAGGTCGGCCAATTAATTTTTTAGGGAGATGGGGGTAAGTAAAGTTTCCTCTGAAACCTAACCCTACTCAGTAGCAACTTGCCTCGTTTTTGCCATACTGTCTACTGGCAATGCAACAAACACATGAACACAATTTAGTTTTTACCTACAATCTGAGTTTTCCACTTCAACTGTGCCAAACATGTACAAATTACAAAGACTTTTGTCTCCTACCTGATTCAGACAACTGAAATAATTGCACTTGGGTATACTCAAGTATTAGTATTTCAGGTACAGCATGACTTGGTTTCAATAAAACGGATAATGCTTCCAACAGTCATAATTATGCTTTAAAAATTGTACGACCAGTTGTTAAACATAAGGCTAACAGTACCATGAAGTGTATTATAGTAGAGCTGAGGACATTTCCTCCTAAGTCTGCCCAAGGCATTTTCTCGACACAAACCCTTGTTGTGAAAACTGAGTTTTAATGTTTACATTTCCTTTCCTCGGCCTCCCTTCAGCTCTATTGCATTACGGGTCTAACAGTGATGGTAAAAGTAGTACATTTATAATACAGTACTCCTGTGTGGGATGTAACAGCCATTATACACATATGTATTCATTACAGCACACATGGCTTTCAAGGCGTCCTAATCACTGTAACTGTTACAGAAATGGCTCGTCTCGGAATCTTTATTGCCTGTACTCAGGTCACAAAAGTCACCTAACAAGGAATGACTCATAGTTTACCATCTTCCTGACTGTATGGCATAATTTCCGGATTTACTTCCTTAATCCAATTAGGGAATTACATAGGGGATCATAGCTCCTGGTCGTTGATATAATTTTTGCCACATCTTGTTACTTTACCCCTCCAAGGCGAGAGATAACCTGCATAATTTGGTTGGCCGCTACATCGCCGAGGATCTGTCCCGGCTCCCAAGTATTGATAAACGCTGATCAGGGGTTTACCAATGCTGATAAATATTCCCAGGCCTAATGCCTGTTTGTTTTAATGAGTGCAGCCGACAGCATTCTTGTCTCACGTATGGCAGAATTTAAATACAGCGATTTGAACGGTTATCAATTGGTGCTGGGGACGTGCAAGAAATGAAACATTTGGTACCGTCTGGGTCACCCACTATTGCTACTGTCTGGATAAGTGCACTCTTGCTACATAATGTAAAGACATCCTCTGGAAATACAGTGTACATTCAAAATAGTAAATACTAGTATTATGTTGTGGAGAAAAATAAGGTACTGATAGTATACTTGTGCTATTTCATCGTACTAATGATATACATTAAAACAATTTCTCCCGTGGTAGTTCCAAGTCCCACGTGTTAGTAATTCTTCTTACTAGAAAACTCATTTCCTTTTCCACTGGGAGACAGACATGATTCAAAGCTGCCAGTCATACAAAGAATGCCATTACCCATGTACAAAAGCCTTTGTCAATCAATTATGCTAAAATCATAGCCTTCATTTTTCTAAGAATGAATACTGTGGAAGGTGACATCTGTTAGAATTATCCTCTAATAAATTATACAAACTACCACTGCAAAGTTCAAAAGAAATTGTGTTATCAGTATACAAAGCAGCATACATTTATCAAATTCCACAGCATACCGCTACCTGCTAATACTGTTTATCAACTGTATTATCCCTTTTATCGCCTAGCCTCTTATTCCTTTATAACACAACGCCATTGTTATAACGAAGTATTCATTACGTTGCATTTTTCAGATCCCTCTTCTCGTACTGACCAACACAGAAGCTTCAATGATTTCTTGGGAAACAATTTACTTGGTCTCGAACAATGCCAGGTTGAAAAGTGATATAGGTTACTTACAAGTAATTGAGGCACTATTCATTAAGATTTATGCTGCAACCAAGGTGTTATTTGAACAGTACACCAGACAATTGGTAAATCATTAACAGAGAACAAAATCAGGTCACTGCACGATTATACTGGTCTGATCTAAATCTCTAAATCTTACTGCTACCATTTTTGCTTCTAAGGGTCTAACTGGGGGCTGGCCTATGTATGTACATTCGCTTTGAGACCAGTCTGGTATCCAGGCCAGTTATAATCCTGTGATGCTTCTAAATGTCACTTTTCCTTATACATGTACGTCATAAGACAAATATCCCGGCTTTGTGATCGTAATCCTGTATCATTACAAACTAATGATCTCACTACCACTGCATATAATGATTTCATTTATTTTCATAGGATAAGGTGGGAAATGGATCTGGTGCTATGGTATGGCTATGGGCATCAGTAGTAACAGTAACATGATCACAGATTCCCAATTGTTAGTTAGCTTGTGGTCACCTGTACAACTTACAAATGAAACATGAGGTGGATATGATTGGATACAAATAGCTATCCGCAATTACATATACAGCATCTATACGGAACATGGTTGGTTTTTCAATGACCCTACCAGATTGGTATGCCATTATAATATCATTCTCATCTACAGCAGCCTGCATGCATAATAGTTTTTTTAATACAAACACTTGCTGGAAAAACGTTTGGCACATTTCTTTTGTTCTTTGATGGCATGACCAAACTGCAAAATGGTTTCTACTGCAGGATTGACAACATGTTTGTGTGAATGTGTGTGTATGTGCGCACGTTTGTGTGTGTGTTTGGATGCTGCATATATAATGAGTCTTATGACCCTTGGTGGGTCGACATCAATCCTGGGCTGAAAGGGTCGTTTATACCATGACCATAAAAGCTCCATGACCACGCTATTTGTGACCATAAAACAGGCAATAACACTGGCTATCCTGTACTGATGGCAGGCGATTGCATTACCAGTTTTCCCTCGACTGTGTGTTGTCCACTCTTGACCAGTTGATTGGTCAGTTCTAAACCAATCATGCACTGAATGTGGATGTTCACTTTAAGTTTAACACACTTTTACTCGGTCCTCCTAAAAAGCTGAAGTACAGATTTCCCATCCAGAACACTCAAACACTAAGAGACTACATGAGGAAATATGTGATAGGAATGAAAAATTTCATAAGTATACGTCACCGCAACAAGTTATAACAAAACTACTGATTAAAGGTAATTATACAGTTACACAACACCTTCCATGTATTTGTTTACATCTGCAACATCTACAGTCAACTAGAAGGTATGGAGACTTGAATATAAGTATGGACGTTAAACCTTCCTGGTTTCTAGACATAAACACTTCTGAAGGTCTACTGTAGTGTTTGTCAAATGGTTTTCGTGGTGTAACACTACCCCATGTTAAGAATGATAAATCTTTTTATATAACCCTTAGTTGCCTAGCAATTTGGCAAGTGATATACGATGTAATAAAGGTCCCTTTCTGTACCTTGAGGTTTGATAATTCCCTTCTAACAAACACCCAGCCTGTGAGGGGACCTCAGGCCTTCTAAAGCTTTCCTTGTGTTGTTATTTGAGCCGACCACAGTCAGGAATTCTTCGGCTGGCCTTGGGTAGCTAGCGTTCCGACGACAATTCTCGTCTTCTTTTCGTTCGATCACCACAGACAAGCTTCACACAACTACGCTAAAATATAACATCTCACCTGGTCGCTGCTAGGCGAGGAACTCATAGTTATTTCCAGGGGTTCGGAAAACTCAGCCAGATTAAAAGTTGAGCGTCGACAAAAGTATTTTATCCTGTTTGGTGGACAAGCCTGGCCTTCTCTGTTGGGCTCACTGAGTAGAGTTCGAGGGCTGGGCCAAATCCGACGTCCTTCCAAACAGAGGGGAAATCGACCACAGATCTGACGTTCTGTTACACCAGCCTCATCTAAAAAGGTTCTAGAGGTTGTAAGTAGCGGAGAAACGTTAAAACTGTGTCGGTCCCCGCAGTTTAAGGCCTATTCGGCTCCATTTAAAAGGCAGTCACTACAAGGATGAAAGTACTGCAAATGGCGGCTCCTCTCTTCCGACCCGAGACGTGCGCTAGGCATTATGGGATATATGACGTCTGTGAAAGTAGTAGATATTGGGCCAAGGACACCACTTTGGTGAGGGTGACCTTGTCGCCATCAACAAAATAACCTCCCATTCAATGCCTCAATCCCCTTGATGCATACCACACACACGCTTGTGTTAGATCCATTTTTTGCTGTTACTGTATACAGGACACGCTTCAGTTGCAAATACCACTTTTGGAAATTCTCATCGATATTGAGAACCAACAACCCATTGAAGGAGCTTTAAACCTTGGGATGCCCTTGATCAACCTTCATCATGTACATGTATCATCATGATCATGATATAGCAAGAGAACAGGAGTCAGAATTAGCAAGCAAATGCAGCATATTTCCCTCCCAATCTTTTCCAACATATGGAAAATATCCCTCATTTCATCACATACTCATCAAAAACAACCACAACCCTTGTTCTGTGATAAAACGATAGCTTTATTCAAAACATACAGAATAACAGTTATGACAAAGCTCCAAAATCATACACCAAACATTTGACATTCATCCTTCAATAATAGTTGCCTACAGCTTTCACTAGTTACTCATATAAAGTCTTGCACATAGCATTGCAAATGATAACAGGTATGAAGCAGTACCATTACTAGTAACGTTAGTATCCCTCTGGAGATTTAACTTTTGAATTCATCTTAATACATGTATCAACATTACACACTCAGGTTACAACCTGCCATTCTAAAGGGAATGTCAGAAATGTTTTTAAACTTTCAAAACTAACCTGTATTTAAATGCCTTCATGCTCAATGTTTAATCTTGGGTACATGCAAATCTTTCTTTAGTCAAACAAGACGATGTTACTGATTTCATTCGAGATTATAGATTTGTCCAATTCTTTTTACAGCAACTTTGTCATTTGTTTGTAAGGGTAAGTTCGATGGAAGAAGATTGTCTCATGCTGTGGTTTTAACCAGTTTTTCAATGGGCACATTTTTTAAACCTATAAGTCCTGTTGTCATTCACTACTTCACTAAAATGCTACTGTGCATATGTATTCAAAGGTATGGCTGTGCATACCAGATGAAAAGCACCATTTCTTTCACGGGGAGGGCACTATTAAAATGATGCATTTACTTTATGCCCTTTTTTAGCCGTTTATGACACATGCATATAAAAGCATTCTTTCATTTCTTTTAGTTGTTGTCAAATACGAACATCGGAGGATAATCCATGCATTCAATGGAAAATATAGAAATGCAAAACTGGCATCAACTGCAGTACCACACACAGGTCTAGCCTAGCATAATGAATTCATTCTCCAACCTGTAACCACTGTTCATCACTTCTTGTACCTACTAATGCCTCTCTTGTATGGTTTAGCCTACTTAAAACATTTGGCCAGATGCTGAGAATATGAATATATTATAAACTGATGTAGCATAATATCTCTAAACTCTTTTCAATTTTTTATCATAATCACTTTCAAATTGATAGATAGCATGCTATTTTTCATGTTTTTGTGATGCTGTTTTCTTACGGCAGTCACATGGAACAATACCTCATAAATTTACTCACAAAGACACCTGAGAATAATACATAAAATCAATAAACCCAATAACATACCACATAGTAAACGCTAACAATATATCACATACTAGTAAGTCTTTGATCGTGCACCAAACACACAGTGTTGAACAACCATTACGCATAAATTGAATTTGGGACAAAGGTACAAAATATACAAAGTTAACACACAGCCCAGCAGCTACAATAACTTAATATATAACCATCACCGTATAGAAAACATCAAAATACTGCCTCATTTTGTCATGTAATTTCACAAATGCAGCAACATTAAATATTCATGATATAAATATCCCATAAATGACTCCTTCAATGACAGTGGTCTCTTAAGAGGAAACAGTCAAGCTGGACAATCTTTATTTTGTTGATACTTTGCATACACCTATTGTTTCTACCACTTTGCTACAACATCCCAACTACACGCCTACCAGTTGTTCCTTACAATGTATTGCACATAATTCACATATACGGGATACAGCAGGATTACTGCCAATGCCAAGTCCCAAATATTCATATAAAGCTGTGCAGCAAAAGATTTGATGTTAGGGAACTACAACTAATAGTATGAATAGTGAAACAGCATCTGACACTAAGCTAGTAATGCCTTCTGTCCTCTTAGCATTTTGTCTAGGGCCTTCTACATTTTGTACGCGCAGATTTTTTCTATCTTCAGATATCTATATAACTTCCATGGGTATTAGTAACTCTGTTCAAAAGTGCTCCATTTTATTTTAATTTTCTGTCCATGGTGCGTGACAAGCTCTGCAGTGTTTTACAGCACATTTGAGAAATTTTTTTCCAACAAGCATGGTGTCAGCTAGCTCTTGCCTCAATCAACATTTCACAGGAACTGCTAGTAATTTCAAATCTACATGTATAGAACTACATCAAGAAGGATTTAGCCAATGTGCGTCATTTCAAACAGAGTTTAAGTACACAGTTTGACAGTAAATACCTCAAATATATACATACAACAGCTCCACAACACTCAATAAGTTATAACCACTACTCAACTACACTCCACTACAATATAGCTAATTTGTAAGCTCCACATGAACTAGTGGTAGAATATAATATTTGTTTCCTCTCGTTTCTCCTAGGATTTTTGTTGTCACTATAGTCCCTCTGGCTTGGTCTTCGTGGAGTCATAAGCTCGCACAAGTTCAGACTGAAAGTGAGATGACATGGCGTTACTGTAGTTCAAATAGAAGTCTTACTACATAACAATTTGTGGCAAGGTGTATGAAAGTTGAGGCATAATCATCACAAGACATCATGCTAGGCTTGTACTAAAAATATCAAGGGAAATGTTCATACATATGAAACTAGCCTCAAGTCAAAGTTGCTTGTTATCAAAGCACAAGCAATGAATGAAAACTGTTAATATATTAAATCAAACTTATTTCTCTTATGCATAATGAACCATATTTTCCTTTCAGCTCTGTGATGGTTATGTTAATAACATCCTCTTCTCACATAAAAATAAATCTCTTTCAACACATTACATAAGTACATTAAAAGATATCACTTTACTGACAATAAATCATGCAATGTTATCTCTTCTGCATTGAAACACAGATTACAAGAACAATCTTTACTGTCAGGCATGCATTGTGTGCAATCTGGCAAATCTCCTATGATTAATGCTACATGTCCTATAAAAACTCTAGAGGATTGTATGTTGACAGGTGAGGGAATTTCGGGGAGGAATGCAGGAAAAGATATTGAACATCTGTATGGCATGAATGACAGACAACACTATATGATGTAATTACTGTTTCCCTCGAGTTCTTTTCTTCTTCTTTCATGCTGATTAGCCCAAAAGCAATTGGATTATTAGCATCTGCACATGTGTTACTTACAAAACAAGTTTTTGTTTCACAAGTCTCATATGGATATTCACAAAAATGTCATGAAACTCGTTGACCCAAATTAAATGGAGGTGTTTGAAATCACTTACCTGAGGCACAATACCATGCTCTTCTTGTGAGAAGGCATAGCCGTCTGTAAAGAAACAGAAACATTTTATTACAGCAAGACAAATGTCCGAAATGCACCTGCAGTCTGTACTGCAATGTGAAATATGGCTGAACTAGAATTACAGGTTATATACGCAGTGCTATACAGAGGTGAGTATTTGAGTCAGTCATACTGAGTCACTCACTCACTCACTCACTCACTCACTCACTCACTCACTCACTCACTCACTCACTCACTCACTCACTCACTCACTCACTCACTCACTCACTCACTCACTCACTCACTCACTAAGTAACTAACTAACTAACTAACTAACTAACTAACTAACTAACTAACTAACTAACTATAATAGCATCTGTTGTCCCCCATCTTCTGAGGGAACAGAGTTTACCCATGAGACTAAACTTTGGTTTAACTAAACACAGACAGAGCCTATAGAGGAGACAGTTAGGGACTGTACGATATTTACCGGGGAGGGGGGGCCGGTCGTCCGGGGGTAGCGTAAAAAAAATTTTCCTAGGCCCTCCCCCCAGGTCAAAAAAAATTTCCGAGGCCCTCCCCCCGCCTCAAAAAATTTTTCCTAGGCCCTCCCCCAGGCGTAAATCATAGAGAGTGAAATTTCGTATGGGGAGGACGAGATTTTGATTGAAAATTTCCCCGCATGAAGCGCCGAAGGCGCGAGCCATCGCGCCGCGGCGCCACTAGAGCCCGAGTAGGCCCGGCTTTTTGGCGGGGGGGGGGGCATGTCCCCCCGGAAAAATTTTGAATTTCAACCCATGTTTTGCATGTTGAGGGGCAAATTTGGCAGCACAAATTTCGCCGGTACATCGAGCTATTAAAGTCAGTAACGTTAACGTTACGGTCAGTCAGTCTTACCGTCTTACCGGTCCCTTGACCAGGGGTGGTCGTGGGGGCACCTAGTGGCTGAGCACACTGCCTTCCTCCATCCCTCCCTGTCATGAGCCAGCGCTTGGGCGCTGGCAAGGGGCAAGCCGGTCCACTCCTTGACGTCAGTGTAATCGAAATAAATCTAGCCTACCTTTCGTTCACGAACTTCTTCCGCGTCAATTTTATTACAAACAGGGAAACAATATTGCCAAGTTACGTGTTGTTTTCAATTAACTTTGGAGGGACATAGATATAAATGTTAAAATAGTCCTTGGTTTAAAAAAATACCAAATTAATCCGTCGACATCCGACATCCACGCCGAGAAGTTTGAGCGAGTTGCGAGGCGGGACCAGCGGGTCACCTTTGCCGACGCACGCACACCACTGGGAAGGGTGCGTTGAACGGCGAAAATTAATTTTCAAAATCTTCCGACAAGCCTTCCCTACATTTTTGATCAGTATCGTTTCGATAGCCGCGATTGACATGACTTTAATCCATGTAATTTGGCTGTGTAGTCCAGTTTCGCCGATTCTGGCGAAAATGCAAGATTTTGAAGAGGACTGTGGGAGATTTGGGCGAATACATTTATAATAATAGGGATGGATATTATTGGAACGTGAAATTCTGCCGATTCCAGTGACCGGCAAATCGCTACGATATGTATGGGACAGACGTTAATCTTGTTTTGAAAGTGTATAAAAACGTTGTAGAGTTGAAGGGATCTTGGAAAAATTTTTTACCTAGGCCCTCCCCCAAATTAAAATATTTTTTCCTAGGCCCTCCCCCTGGCTCAAATTTTTTTTCCTAGGCCCTCCCCCCTCAGACGACCGGCCCTCCCCCCCGGTAAATATCGTACAGTCCCTTAGAGGACCCTTACGTTGTTCTGTGCCTGGTTCACCCGGTCGAGCGGCTGCTGCAGGTGGTGCGTGCTCCAGCAGGCCGTCCCGCTCCCCAATCAGCTGTGCCCTGCAGACAGAAACAAGCACAACGTTCAGCTCATCCTGATTCAAACCAAACCAAACCTTTGCCTGACATTTGCAGACTGTAATAGCGTAGTCATTCTCTAAATACCAAATCATTTATATTCATGGATTGTTTTTGACAATTAAACTTTAATTCTAGTACTGTACCATGGCTACATGTCAAGCAATCATTGACTGGTTGAATGACTACTTAATGCATTGGTTGAAGAAACTTACGTTTTCTTCTGAGCTTCAAGGATGACAGACTCGGGGTCGAGACGGGCCTTCTCCAACTCTTGCACCTTCATCAACAGCGTCTTGAAGCAGGTCCGTTCAAGGCTGAGGAAGACATCAGCGGTCAACTTTCACTTGCCAATGTTAAGTAAGAAGTGCTTTGGACGAAATTACCAATAGCTATCTCAAACATATCCAAAGGCTCTTTTCATCCATGGCACATAACATACAATGTATAAGGAGATACAAGGTCATAGAATATTTTAGACATAAACTTGTGTTTTGACATCAGTGGTCAACTTTCACTTGCCAATCTTAATTAAGAAGTGCCTTTGGACTGTCATATGGATATTACCAATAGCTATACTTATTAGGCACATCAGGAGATACAAGACCAAAGAATATTTTTGACAGAAACTTACGCTTTCCAAGCGACATCTCTGATGAGACATGTGGTGGGGATGAGGAACAGTCCCATCCAGAACACTCCACTGCCCAACACATAACGTTCCTGGAGAGTAGGAAGGCAGTAATCAGCATTTTACACTCATTTGATGAGCATAATGCAAAGGCCTGCTGACCCAGCACCAACTCTTATGCTCAGTGGAAATCAGACTTTGACTCTCACCATGGGCTAAACACATGGCTCAATAATCTTTCAGAAATATCCAGATCATCCAGGAGTATCATTATCATTAATACAGATTCTTGGCATTCAAGGTGCCTAGGTGCCCTCTAAATATTACACTGTATAGCCAGTTACTGCAGTTCACACAAAAAATACAAGCATGCACATCCTTCTGGTGAAAAGCGGGCATAAAATATATGCATGTATGGGGAAACCATGTTGCCATGGTGGACGTTTGTGCTCTCCAAGTGCTGATGACCTCAGACAACCCACCTGTCCTAACATGTCGGGTCCGAGGGGGATGACTGGCCAGAAGTTGGAGTAGATCATGAAGCAGAGGAACCAGGCGATAATACTGCCCCAGATGGAGATGTGGCTCAGCTGGAGGAACAGACACAAACTACATCAACCTGCTGCTGCTATGGTATCTATCTATCTGCGGCTTGGAGGTGTGGTGTGAAGACTAGCTGACTGTGTCAGGCACTCCCGCAGCAGTGTAATCTAATATTGGATACTACTACTACTACTACGATAAACTGTATAGAAATATTAACTTTTGGACAAAGATATTCCGACAATTCAACAGATTGTATATTGATGTACCTAGCCTCTACAGAATCGCCATGGTTGTCTAAAGAACTGCTATAATATCAACATTCCCCGTAATGCTTTTCATGAGAACCTTATGCAATTCAATGTATCTAATAAGGAACATAATGGGAAATTTCATTGCGTATCATTTCAATGTTCCATGTCAGACTAGTTGAAGGTAGAAATCAGAGTTTGAAGACAGATTGCGTACCCTTGTCCATGAGTCTGACATTAGAGCTGCTTTCAGGCAAACAGTTACGACCACGTACTGAAACAGAACACGCACATTAGTGTTAAAAAACACAGTGAACTGCAGGTCAATGTTCAAATCTCTTCTATAAAACTGTTATTGGTAACACTTCTGCGCATGCATTACCCTGATCAAGACAACAGCATCAAATTGTATGGGGCATTTGCTGAATTACGGGTGCACTTGAAGGAAGCTAGATGTCATATTATTAGACACATCAACAGTTGTGGTAAGAATACCAAGCACCTGTAACAAAATAGCTAGAACTTAAACTTCAGAAGATTTCAAAAGACGTTCATGATATCACATTAAAATTATACAAAATGTACCTCCAATATTGTTTATAATTCATGAAATGGCCCCATTGAAGTACATGTACCGGTATGACACCTTGTCTTAAACCATGGTTGTTACAGATATGCTTGGATACAGGAAAAATTGTCAAATCGACATCCAGGGGATTGGAAAAGGCTGTACATGAAAAACCCTGTATTTACCAACCATATGTTCCTATTTCAGCCATATATCAACATAACCCAAGACTGAAAAACAGCCATACATGTTGGGCACATTGCTGAGAACATGACACTCACAGTGTAGACCATGTTCCCTACTACCAGCAAGTCTCCAGCCTTCCCATCACTGATGCCCACATCTGTGTTAAACACACACACACAAAGGAATCAATGCAAAACCACCAGATTTAAAGACATATTCATGCCAAGGTCACCCTAATTAGCAATTAACTTTCTGCAAGCCATGGATTTTCTCTTCTGAAGTCTCTAATTGTCCATGTTGGAATCAATACATCAATAAGAGATTCCTTCTAAATGATAGCAAGGTTCATACTGCAAGCTTTAATTATGACAAATGTTTTACCAGTCAAATTAGTTCTGGCCACAGTTAAATCAAACCTAGCCTGTGCCTATTCTCAGAGAAACTGGATAGCAACAGCAGTACAGCTCTATCATGAAAGGTCATCCGTGTTCATAGTTATAAGTACATGTTTAAAGTTAAAAGTTTTGTTCCAACACAATGGAGTGTTCTGACCTAGAGCTTTTGACTAGTCACTCTGGTCTCCTTCAATAGACTGACCCAGTGAGGCTTGTCACATGGCTTCTTTGAAGAAGACCAGATTGACTGATTGAATGGTCTAAACTGAAGCTTGTAAAGCATGGATTTCTACCATGACTATACCACAACTTTCCTTCATTAATATTGACCTGACTGCAAAGACACATACTATTAGATGTTGGAGCCTTACCTTGCTGCATGGCCCAGACAGGGAACCAGTACAGGAGGAAGGAGTGGAAGATGGCATTACCCATGGCCTGCCAGAACACCTAGGATTGGAACAGAACACGGGTTAGCTTTCTTCTAAAGAAAATGGCAGAGTAATGGTAATATGGGTGAGGTGGGAACTCTAATTGTATTGAAATACACTAGAGAAGGTGTGTGTCAAAAAGCAGTGATTCAGAAGTTCCTACTAAGAAACATTAAACAAACAAGGAAGTAAACAAGAAACTATGTATGGCATACCTTGGCATTGAAGTAGTCTCCATCCTGAGAGGGTTTATACAGGAGCGGGAAGCGTAACATGTTGTTGGCCTTACAGGTTCGCTCAAACAGTCCCAGGGAGAAGGGAGGGAGGGCAGTGAAGGACTGGAAATAACAACAACATGGATATCAGGAAGCTACATCACCCTAACACAGAGGTTATATTGTATGTTTATCAGTTATTCTGATTATGCAATAATAATACCACATTATTATCTCTGAGGTTTGTTTTGGCATGTTTGTTTGCTTGTGTGTCCATAATTATTCAAATAAAGTCACATTTTAAAAGGCAAAATGGTGTAACTGCAGACTGACAGGGAGGTCAGATTGGAGGTCAAAATGGTCTCTAGGCAGAAGGGGAGGAGGTGACAGTAGAACATGCACAGAATTAATGAGAAATTCCTAAAGATAAGTAAAACAAGAAATTCACTGCAGTTATAAATACTCCACAGAGGGGTAAAATTGTTGATTTCTTGATTCTAAGAAAATTTGTTTAAAAGATTTGACACAATAGATATAACAGAATGTGAGACAAGATGTTGGGAAGACTCACCACATTGTACAAGGCAATGGTCCACCTGTCAAACAGGATCTGTCCTGAGAACCCGTTCACCCATGCAAACCAGAACTGGGAAACACAACATAAAGATGTCACTACGCAACTTTGCACTAGGTAGTCCTAATTCTTCATCACTCTATTTCCAAGGAGTTTGGATGAAACAGAATTTAAGCACAGTATTACTTCCAATTACTGACATAAAGAATCAAATAATATTATGCTAGTTAAGCAAATCTTCCACCTTTAATAAACTTATTCAATAAGTTTATGAGTTAGGCAAAGGTGGAAGTACAGTAACTGTTACTGTAGTGTCATATCACATCACATCAAAAGATGTACATGACATAATGACTTTGACAGTTTATATGAAACAATATATACATTGTGAGGCATCTTCTGCAGTGACTTATGTTAAATTAAAAAATCGGTATCTTCACTTCTCATGTTTGTGTAAGCCTGGACTAACCTCGATGAAATAGAGGCAGAGGTTCTTGTAGAAGGAGTAGATGATGAGTTTGGACAGGCGCATGTAGTTCCAGGCTCCGTGCACGAATAACAGCCGATTCAGGTATGCAAACTGGGGGAAAAGGACAAAAATTATTGTACTTGTACTTGTATAAAAAATCCATGGTGTCCCTTGGAGTAATGGCAGGGTGTTTGCCTGGATCCCAAAGGTCCTCAGTTTGAGAAAGGCACTTTGTATAATTTTTCCAATAGCGTGCCCTCACCTGTGCTATGGAGTAGTCTGAAGCGTTGGCTGCCTGTAGACCCTCCTTCCCGCTGATCCCCACTCCGACATGTGCCGCCTGGAGGGGGGGGGGAAGAGTATCAACCAGAACAGTTGTTATAATACATCATCTCTTTAAACAAGGACATCAAAATTGGACTTAAAAAGAAAAACACTTCAGGTTTTAAACAATGTATAACACATCACACAAAAGAGGATTTCATAAGTAGAGCATGGCAAAAGTTACCTGTATCATTCCAACATCGTTGGCCCCATCCCCTATAGCTAGTGTGATGGCACCCTGGACCTTTCTCTTCACAAGGTCCACTAGCTCTGACTTCTGCAGGGGCGACACTCTGAAACAACAACAAAGGACATGCAACATGACTTCTTTTGCATCTATTGAATCAGATGTCTTCTTGTGACTAAAACAGCATTTCTTGTGTACTGTTAATGTCACCAATCATGTGTACTGTCTTTCAATTACAGTGCCCAACATCGTTTGTGCACAGCAACAATAACATGATTGCACACACAATCAATCTGAGTGTTCAAACTCTTAAATGTTTTTCAAAAGATGCAAAGCAAAATGTTAGCATACTGTATTTTCAACACTTAAACATTGCCTTTTAGTTGTTGGCATACAGTTGGTCAATGGCATACACTTTGCATATTTGACATATTAATCAAAATTAATGCCTTTCTCACAGCACCAGATGAATCAGGACACCTGGCAGTTCCCTGCTTACCTGCAGCAGATGGCCACCTTACAGGACAGAGCGATGTCCATGAAGTCATGGGCAACATCGTAGGACAGGGCATACTTCAGGGTCTACGGGGAAAAAACAAATTGAAAAAAAAAATTATCCAACAGACTACCTTTTGTAGTCAAATACAGACTGTAACATCCTTTTTTATAAGCACTGTGGCTGTTAGAACAAATCTTTGGAATAAACTGCAGTTGCAGAATGTTATAAAGTTTAACTACAAAAGATGGCCTCACCTTCCCATCAATGATAAGTCCAACGTTCTGTTCCTTTCTAATGGTGCTCCCAAACGACTCTCTGTGTTTTCTCAGGACTTCTCTGGTAGCCTGTGATGTTTGACAATCGTTAACATTACTAGATGTATCAGTCTGTTCACTAAAGCATTGCTTTCAAACATGCATTGCCTTTCCATTTTCTTTACCTTTTAAGCTACATTATTCACTGGATGTATTTCAACACCTTACAAAACATCTAATCTATTGTAAAGATCATCATCTGACACTATGAAATGTATTTCAAATTAACAGACAATATGATAAAAGTATTATCATGAAAGAAACCACTTGTTAGTATCACACTGTATATGATTAACAGGCAAGCAATGACCTGGAGGAGAATGGTCGAATGGGACCTTGCAGAGATTGGTTGTGGATGGGAGGGGGCACAATGGACTGCAACAAACAAAAACTGTGGAAGACAATGAGCACCTAAGGCTGATATGCGGCATAGAGAGAAAGAGGAATTAACATACATCAAGATTGTCCTCGTTGATGATGAGCAGGGACATGTCAGCGGTGAGCAGCCTGCAGGAGTAGCCGATGTTGATGGCCGTCTCCTGTTTGTCACCAGTCAGAACCCACACCTTGATCTCAGCTTTTCTCAGGGCTGCGATGCTGTCAGGCACTCCCTGTGGGGGAGGTAAAGCTGGATGTAAATACTTCCAGTAACAAAGATTGCGACAATAGAAAACAGCCAGATAGAAGTGTTGCTAATCATTGCTTCATATTGTATGTTGATTGTGAAATACAAATTTCAATGTCTAGTTGACTGCATTTCTTGTATTTTCCCATTATTGGTTAGATATGTCACATTACCTGAGGCCAATTTTCTGACAATAGTTTAGGAAGGTATACAGTGCAACAATTTGAACAGAAATGTAGACACAATGTGATGAAGCAAAACTTACCTCTTGTAGTTTGTCTTCAATTGCAGTAGCTCCTAGGAGATTCAAGTTCTATGAAAGACAAAGTATATTGAAATTAACAAGATGAGCAATCCTGAAATTACAGGGTAGTCAAATTGTCTCTAAGTTAACAGTTTGGATAAGCTGTTACTTCCAGTTATTCTTTTTAACACTTTTGAACCTTTCTGAGTACATTTTCTTGTATTTTCACATGCCCCTGCCACCCTCACCCCCACCCATCCCTTCCTCCTCCTCCATCCTGCGTACCTTCTCAATCAGCTCAGCTATCTGCTCTACTTTCCTTTCTCTGTCCACCAGGGCTGTAGCAGCCTTGTAGAACTTCTGATTCCAGGCCTGCAGGACAAACACATATTAAATACAATCCTTAATACTAGTGGCAAACTTGCAGCAAGCTAATTCAGTCAGTCAGTCAAGATCATGAAGATAATAAAACTTAATAGCTTACATTGTAGTCAGCTTCTGAGATCTCTGTCACTGACAGGCATAGTGTTCGCAGACCTGTATGTACATAAGGAATACAGTAAGGCTATAAAAAGACTTAATGTCTCTACAGGCTTACTAGTTGGCCAACAGACTTATTCTGGATCAAAAAAATGAATTAGTCTTAATAATTTGATTACACCATGTACATGGAAGCTGAACGACATTTTTCAAAATTACAATAAAAAAGGACTAACCATCAGTTGCAAACTGCTCCAGATGTTTCAAGGTGACATCGGCATACTTCTGGTTTGGAGCCAGACGCTCATAGATCACAGTGTCCTGTTGGGCAATAGCATGCGTTTTGAATACTGATACAGTGAGGTAAATACATGGTGATGTCCATTCATTTTTAACACATACATGTAGCTAGTATGTATTCAGTCAAAATGTCTTAAAATGTACTTACAGCTCCCTTACAGTACAGCTTGATCTTCTTCTTGGGATCACGGACGATAACTGACATTCTCTTTCTCTCACTGACAAGGAGAAACAAAAAGTTCAAGACAATGACAAAAGAGATCGTAAATAGCAAGCTAATTTGTGAATGCAAGACAGTTTGTGTTACAAATGAGTAATGGGAAAATAGAAGCTTTACCTTGTGAACTCCAAGACATTCAGGACTTCATACTTTTCTGTTGTTCCCATCTGAAAAGAATAACATACAAACACTGCATGAAGAAAAAGGAGGTTGATGGCTATGAACAGAATCTTGTAATATTTGATAAAAAATCTTAACATTCATTTAGGATTGCTTGTTGTTATTAGCTGATGAATTAGCATTATACCCTTGCAAGGTATCATTCATATATGATGTAACAGATCTATATAACATATCATAAAGGTATGTTATGAAAACTTGTAAACTTGTGCTTGGTAGACTGATAAAATATATGTGCTCAGTGACTGTAACTTCACATTCTATACCTAAACTTGCCTTTCTTTAAGAACATACTGGCCATAACAACTATGATCTCAACAAGGTATTTGCTTACAGCTTCAATGATAACATGTTCAGGAGTTCGGATGTTGAACTCAAACCCAAGCTTCTTTGCTGCTCGCACCAGGGCCCCTTCATCTGAAACATGGGAAAAAGAGAGAAAACGTAAATTCATATGTTCTAGTCATTCTCAGATGGCATGATTGGCTACTGAGTTTTCTGATTAGTCATGTCTATCAGTTAAATTTTTTCCTTCATCATGAAAAAAAATAAATTCATATATTCTAGTTATTCTCAGCTGATTGGTTACTGTTCCATGTCATCGATAATGTTTAAAGAACAGAGCTCTCTGATTGGTCATCACCCGGAGAAGCAGCCTGGTAGGCTACGACGTTGGGGTCGTCCGGGACCTGTTCCGGGATGACGGTGTGACACAGCGCCATGGTCGTCAGGAACTCGTAGATGGTTGGAGCAGTCTCCTGGAGAAGGTTCAAAACAGAGCTTCAGGCAATACATGTACAGGGTACCTCATCATCGTAACATTTAAATATGTCTATCAGCATTTTCAGGCACAAATGCATTATGCATGACTGTGTACTTTGATACTATGATGTTTTAGTTTGACTCAGAGAATTACTACAGATTAAAAAGCTACTGAATAGTCTATAGCTAACTACTGTACATGTCTAAGAAGAGGATACAGAAGACAAGGAAGAACAAAAAAAGGAAAACATGTGAATCTGCAACCACATACATGTCCTGCATGCAGGTTTTCCACCAAGCGGGGGTCATTGAACCTTCCATCCTCACTGTCAGGATTGTCACTGCAGAAAAACAGCAAACTCACTATTCAATCTATAAATTTCTATTCCAAACGATACTGGTAACAGAGATGTCTTTGGTGCTGAAATTGAGGCTGTTGTGCATATAACACATCAGGATTCATTTATTGGCATACCTTGCTAGGATTACATTACATTAACATGTACATCATTCTTAATAGTACATTTCTATATAGTTTGCCAGGTTCTAATCAAAGAAATTTATACTTTTTTATACCCCCCAAAAAATGGTTTATATCTTTGTTTACCCATAGATAATCCCTGCCACTGAGGCTTTTCTGAACTCCATCTCATTCCTGGTCAGAGTGCCGGTCTTGTCTGAGAAGATGTACTTCACCTGCAATACAAGGGGAGGGAAAGGTAAGTCTTCAGACAAACAAAAGCTGACCATCGGTACTGTATCTGTATCTGTATAGCTGGTATAACCGCCGCTCTGCAAAACACACCAGCTTTGGGGCAGAGCATGGCATCAGTTGGCTATATTACATTTGAGTGACTTGTTATATCCTTTGACTAAATCATCTAATACATGCACATGAAGCTTGGATAGAAGGTGTCTGCTTACTTGTCCCAGCTCTTCATTGAGATTGGAGGTTCTCGCCATGGCCGGGGTGTCTGAGGCCTCGTGGTACATCTCAATGTCCTGTGGGAGAGGGAAAACTTCTGTTCTTTTTCAAATATTCAACAGAGATAAAGAAAATACCTTATAAGTGCTTCTACTATCAATGAAAGCCCATCTGTGTTGGTGTAGTAACACAAAGAATTGTTCTCACTTAGAGCTTTGACCAGTCACTCTTTGTACTGGTGTTCTTCAATAGACTGATCCACGTGGCATCTCTGAATTGTGCTACTACTAATTGAAAGCTTTTTTAAAACAAAGATCCCAGTAAAAGGAGAAAAAGACGACCAGAGCTAATACTGACCATGTTGATGAAGATGGCTTGGATGAACTTGACCAGCTCGAGAGTGACCTGCAGACTGATGGGGATCAGGTTGTTGTACAGGATGATGAAGGTCAGGAACGTGTAGCCAAAGTTGTTCGGTCCCATCACTGCAAACATCAACAACACACACATGGTCAGGGGTTGCTCCTTCTGTAGCCTGGATGCCAGGCTTGTAACACGCTAGCCTGGGTACCAAACCTATTTGTGCTCCCAAGTCTTTATCCTCTCTTATTTGCAGAGAGGATACAGACTCAGGAGCTAACATAGGTTTGGTAACCATTCTAATAACACGCTAGGCCCTGAGTTAGCCAGAGTGCCTGTGATCAGGACTGTGGTATAATTTCCTTGGGGGCATGTTGGCCCTAGAGCTGAGGAACTGGCCAGTGTAGGCCCTGGACACAGTCTGGCATCCAGGCTATTGCTTCTGCTTAACCTGGTATCCAGCCGTTCCCAGCTTTGCGGTGGAGGAGAGAGAGCTTTGGTCCACTTCGGTACGTTTCCATCAAGAGTCTCTACAAGGTAGCTTGTTATGGTATATTTCGAAGCAGTAATAGGCTGACAATGGATGGACACCAGACTACCTGTAGCTGTTACTGTGCATAGAAAGTGCTTCTCCCAATCAGTATAAGATGAAAGAAAAAGTAAGATCTTACCCACTATACAGTTAGGTGAGAAGACAGGACAGACGTCAAGAATGCATACATGACACGTGGTGCAGAGATACAAGACATTGGGTTATTGTTATTTCACAACAATGGGAAAAGAAGGGGTGCGGATTGGGTTAACAGTTTTGCTATACTTTGACAAGACCATCAAGTTGTAAGGTTAGAGATTTGACATGGACAAGAACATACTGTTAATTCTGTTAAGTTCACAAAGTTATGTGCAGAGTCTCTGGCACTTACTGTGACCAAACATGTAGATATATAGGTACTAAGGACAGTAAAACAAGGAGTATTACAAGGAATACATGTATGTTGCATTCCTCAACAGCTGAAATTTCTTAGTGTGGACTTACGGTTGTAGCCGATGTACCAGTCCTTTGCTCCCCTCCGATTGGTCCAGATCTCGGAGGCGACAGCACTAACCAAGGACAGGGCAATAAGGAGCAGAAAGAGTAGGAGGATCTGTGGGACAAGGAAAAGAGAAAAAATCATGGCAACAGTGTAAAAACTCTGTTCATTCAACTAAAATCTGGCATAGTCTTTGCTCAAATACACAAAAACAAATCTTGAACTAAGATATAATAACTCTATCAATTATAAGATACTGAAACAGAAGGCAACAACAGTAGTTCTGCAGTAGCTGTGCAAGTGCCTGTTTAAGTCTGTCCCTATCCTTTCTTTTGTAGGTCCTAAATCACATACAACACGAAAGAAAGTAAGCCCCCCTCCCATACCTGCATGTTTGTCGTCCTGTCCAGGTTGGACATCTTGATTGGTGCGCTGGTGGTGTTCTGCATCAGCTTGGTCTCATGTCCAGTGTACATCACTATACCTGTAGGGACCATAGCATAGCATTCAAACACAATACATGTACTTCTAAGCCATTACATTTCTAAGCCCTACAGTCCTGTGGACACCTGGGGAAATTACTGGTGAAAATACTGAAGTCACTAGAGTGCTGAAAGGCTGCCATAACAGACCTTTATTTATATTGTACATTACAAGCTCCTTGCAATTCAGCCCCTTGGATGCAAAGAGAAAGTAGTCAGCCTACCCCAGGAATACTAATTACACAAAATGGCATTTTATTTGTTCCTGCTTAATATATATTTCTTTGTGTGCTTACCAAAGACCCACTGTGTGTTCCTAAGCTGGGCACCCCTCAGGAGTAGCTGGTCTTGGTTCAGTGGAATGGCCCTGTGTGAGGGAGAAATAAACATCATTCTGTAAACAACCAGCACAAGAAGAAGTCTTTTGAACTGCTGTTAACCTAATAAATGACCTGGAAGATAGATAATTTGTGAGAGTTGCTCTCGTAAACAGCACATACTTAACAAGGAAAGCAGAGACTTCTGAATAGATGCATTATCCTGTATTATTAGTGAAGACTGAAGTAGCTCTTGCCAGCTTCCTATGAAAGCTGTGATGTACAAGCAGTAGCAAAGTCTTTGTGGTAAAAGAAATGATACTCGAACATCCATTTTCATGCCACTGTTTTCTCATCTTCAGAACAATACATAGATGTTTACACTACACCCATGCTTTAAAACTCATGCAGGGAAAGAGAGTCTATAAGACTGTGAAAACAATTTGAGGTAGAAGATCTGATGGAAAGACAGCGCTGTAGTGTGTTTGTCAGCAGAAGTGATGGATGTAGGATCCTATGTGTCTTACCCACTACCCAGATGTGATGGAATGACCATGAGACACCATGACAGCATGATACATGACAAAGGTAATGGTCAACAATCAACATGGTAAAAAATTCCAACATAAAAAATAACCTTAGCCCATGTATGAGTAAATAAAACCATCAAGATTCAAGAGTATGAACACATGATTCTGTAAGGATAGTTATAACTCTAAACTTATATTCCTAACCATACAGTGGGGTCATAGTCTGCATAGTATCTTTCATAAAATATTAGGAAAATATGTTTAGCAGCCACAGAATGACCTGAAATCAAACAAAACCTTTTGATCACACTGTGATTATATTGATCTGCAATGGTACAATCTAAAGGGTGATATTAAAGATAATGACACCCCAACCATAGAGATAAACACATTGATGTATCATATTGATATAAATGCTGAGGTGTATATATACTGTAGGTGTGTATAAGTTGAAAAGTCTGGAGCACCAGTGCTAACAGAGTCAGCAAAATGCCATATCATTGAAAGTAAATACATTGTATGTGTAATTAATATTATGATCTGTATCACGGGCAAAGAAAAACATCTGTGTGAATAACACACCTTAACATTAGTACACCTTAATATTAGTACATGATATATGAATAGAAGGCACACACTATTATCAGCACCAAGGACAGAGGAGGGATTGTGTATGAGTGGAAGGCACACAATACTGTCAGCACCAAAGACAGAGAATGGCTTGTGAATGTATGGAAGGCACACACTACTATCAGCACCAAGGACAAAGGAGGGCTAGTGTATCGATGGAGGCACACACTACTATCAGCCTCAAGGACAGAGAGGGCCTGTCTATGGGTGGAAGACATACATGTACAGTGCAGTCAGCACCAAGGACAGAGAAGGGCTTGTGGTTGAATGGAAGGCACACACTTCTATTAGCACCAAAGACAGAGGAAAGACTGTCTGTGAGTTGCAGGTGATTTGCAGTGTTAAGCATTTATGCAGTGACTGCAGAAATGTCCGGTTCTGACAGGTGGCTCTTCAGACTCAGGACAGTGTATTTTGTGGCAGAAGCACCAGGCATGTGGCATATCAGTGTTTCCTGCCCTTGCCAACCTATATTCTCACCTCCCTACATCAACAGGCAACGTCCCTGCCTGTAGTCTTTGATTCCTCCTGAAAGAAGATCTAATTAGTCTAAAGACGCAACGATACATCAAAGATTTAATACTGCTAATGTATGGATAGCTTGCAAGGTGTCAGTAAGTACATAATGAGACCTTGTAATAGACATGTGGAGTGCATGTAGTAGTTGTTGTAGTGTAAAGAAAGGCTTCACATAAGTCAATTTCAGAAGTATCTACAAGACAAGTTACTCAACAAGACAAGTACTCACATCTTTCCTCGGAGTCTGACGTTGCCGACAAACTCGTACAGGTGTTTGTTGGGCCCCTCCAGGTCCACTTTCCCTTCCAGCTTGGACAGCTCCTCAATGGTCAGAATGGTGGCAGTCTGGGCTAGAGCCTGGACAGGAGCAAGTAGGGCAATGTCTACTATTGTTTGTTACCTACAACACTAATGTCACTAGAATGGTGGTTCCTATCTTATAGTATCAAGATGACGTTTCAACCTTGGGGCAAATATAATGAAGCTCACGATACACCAGAAAAGCTAACAAGAGGAGTGTTAGTCCCATCACTGTCCATACATCAGAAATGTTTCCTACCTGTTTGATCTTGAGGTTGGTTTCTCCATCTAGGTTGCTGGTTTCTACGTAGCACATGCCCTGAGGTTCACTGCATTAGTGGCAAACAACAGTTTCTTTTTACAGATTATATCATATTCTATACTTGATGATCAATCAAATTTTTCATGGATCCTAGTGACTCAATATTTGAGGGGGACTTCTTCTACTGCCTAGCCCATATATAACAGGTTTTTAGCAAGTTTGTATGAAATTACTTTTGCAGAATCTTAAGAATGTAAACTCATGCTGAAGAAGTTGAGCTTTTAAATCATTGCCTTATTTTATGTTGTTTATGAAATATCCACCCCTTCATGTCTAGGGAGGATATGGTAGATGCTGGCAGTTCCATTCTACCACAGTCTAATATCAGACAGCTCCAGAGGCAATATTGGCTTTAAGAGATAGGGACTCAGTGATCTAAAGTAGGGCTGGCACCTGTGATATTTGAAGGAGGGGGAAGCAACCATGATGGATTACTTCTGAAATTACATTGACTTAAAGAAGAGGACGTTAGCAAGGGCACATGCTTTGTGTGCGTCAAGCAAGACACAATCTTGTCTGTGTCTTTATCTAATTTTTCACAAGAATATTTTATCTATGTGAATGAGACAATTTTGGTCAACTGCATGTGATGTTGTAATGCTAATGTGTGCAACGTTTTGGCTTTAGAATGGTTTTCCTATATAGGAATAGAGTTTTTTTTTAGACCCACATCTACATGAAGCGTTATCCTTGTGCAAAAGGAATTTCTTTCAGGAAAAGTCAATGTAGGAAAGAATAAAATGCCAGGGCTGTCTGATAGACATTGTGGGAGTACCATGTACCAATACTGACTTCATTTTAAAACCACTACCATTAAATGCACAGGTGAATACAAAATGAGGAAAGGTGTGGCTCGGGAATGAAAATGTCACACCAAGGTGAACTCATGCAGGTAAATCCTGGACATGATTTGTTGGAAGCCTGTTATAAAATATTGATTGGTCTGGCATTCAAGCAGGTTAGAATATGCAGACTGTGACCATGAAGCAGTTATAGACACCTCCTATCAACCTCTTATCACCCTGCTTGGAACATAGTACATTACTTGTGCTAAAACACAGGCATTTACAACTGTATTATATACATTGTTACCATTGATTATCTATTTGAGTATAGAGGAAAAATATGGGTCTTTCATCCATTTCTACTGCAGCCGTAAATCACTAAATTGTTTCAATAGAAATATACATTATATCAAGTTCAATGACACCTATGATGTGTAGTTTGTGGTACAATAGTGATTGACAGAGGAGAGAAAGGTCACTGACCTTGATGCCATGATGATGAGGTCAGCGGGGAAGAAGTGTCCGTTGGTGACCTTGACAATATCTCCAACCTCAACCTGACAAAGGAAAGGAAATCAACCATTATGTATTTAGAGAAGGTAGATATATATGTTAAAAGGTTTTTGATCTTATAAAAACTGTTTGTTTTTCAAGGCCTTGCAAGGCAATTCATGTACTCAGTCTTTAAGTAAAAATTTAAGAAGTAACATCAGGACATTTTAGGCTTTGTAGAAAAATATAGCATTGAAGAATTCATCTACTACAAGTAGCTTAACACCATCTCAATACAACATTGAACAAAGTCATCTGTAAACATTTAGAATCAAAGCGTTTATGTGACAGAAGAGATCCAAAAGACACCCTTGACATAACCACCATACCAATACCAGCTAATGCTAACTACAGGTCATATCGTAAGGGCACTGACATACAAAAGAAGCTACAGAGACATGCACATCTTGCACACTTCAGTACACGTGTGAGCAGATTTAAGGAAATGGAGGATAAGAGAGCAGGCAGATCACACAGAATGTTAGCCAACACAACACAACAGCATGCCGCTGGTTTACCTGGGTCCAATACAGGGATACCCATTGTCCATTTCGTAAAACTACATGGGGAAGGAAAGGCCAATTTTAACATTAAAAATATGTTTTTTCAATGACATCAGAACATAACAACACTACAGGACCTAAGGCAGCAGCAATTATCATTAACACTATTGGTTAATCAGACAGATACATGACACAACGTGCAATCTTTATAACATGTTGATTTAAAAATACAATAAGGTGGATTTAATACATCAGAGAATTGATACATGGGAAGACAATGTCTTTGTTAAAGTCACAGACTTCACTGAATTACTGACAGATGGTTGTTGTGGGTATGAAAATGTGTGTTTAAGCAGTTATGAGACTAACATATGATGACATCAATTTGGCAATGATGACATATGTACATAAAATTCACATGGTATTTTACATATCTGATGCATTTGATTTGTTTGACAATGTGTCGTAAGCCATAGGGTCCAACTGTGACAATTTTCAATAAGAAATAATTCAATGCTAAGTCTCTACATGTTCATTTGCATCAAAGGTTGCCTAGAAGGTCTATCCTGTATTTACATTTGATGTGTGGAAACTTACCTAAAACTTCTCGTCTATTCACTAAGTCATCTGCTCTGTGTCTTTTCTGAAAGGGGCAAAACAGTTAAAACAGTCAAACAGTTTGAAAAACTACTGTGCTTCTTCTTTGAAACAAGACATTATAAAACATACAGGTAAAAAATTAATATGTAACTTCTAAATAAAATTATTTTTGTATTCCTTTTGCAGCGAGCTACCAGTATCACTTCAGGCAAAATCTTTATTCAGTTACTACCGTAGTAAAGGTCAGATCATAACCAATCCTTTCTCCATCCTTCCTTATCTGAAATTTGCAGGCTAAGCATGGATTGTATCCTTATCTTGTCCTTTCTCCGTACAAGTAAAAGCGTACCACCCACATACACATAATTCTCCAATTCTGTGCCTGAGGTGTATTCAACAACAGCTTTGCTCTTTGAGTGTACAGTCAGACATGTAAAATTCACGGGTTCAGGTCAGTTGAGTAGGATATTCACTCTGGAGTCAAAATGAAATTTCTTGCACTCGATTATAAAATAGGCAGGCAGATGATACAGATTGTGCGGTGGGTCACTTACATAATCTTCTACGATCTCCTTGATGGCTGCCACCAGCAGGATGAAGAGCAGGGGTACAGCTGTGGTGTAACGTCCCGTGGGCGACACGTCTGGGATTTGCTGCACAAAAAGAAAGAGCTTTTATTTCAAGTACATCTATTCTATCACACATTTGTCTCGAGAGAACATCTATTATACAAATGTATTTCTGTGGTCTTCTATATATCTTCTTTGGTAGTTCCATGGTTTATGGTAAGAATATAATAACAAGAAAATCTTCTAGTTCTTTGAGTTAGGTTGCAGAATAATAAACCCATCATTTAGTTGGTTCTTTACGTAGCTGGCATACACAAGACATGGTGAAAGGTTTGTAATGTCCAGATGGAATTTTTCATGTTGACCTGCAGAGACAAACCCACCTGCAAGAGGGCGATGAACAAGAAGAAAGCGTTGGCATATCTTCTGAACTGCTCAAACAAGAACTTGGGCAGGAAGGTGAAGAAGTTGTACTTTGCAGTACTGAAAGATGACAACATTAGAAATTTTCACAAGACTGACATACGAAAAGGAATGTAAAATGAACCGTATTATTCTATTCTGTTGAAAATTAATCAAGCAAATAAACATATACAATATATATGCACAGGCAGTCTCATCTCATGTGTATTTAATTTATCACTAGTCAGCTATATGGAAAAAATCTGCATTTTATCAAATGATGTGTTTTGGGCTTGTGCATGCAGATGCAGTATCATAATATCAAACATAAGCACTTTTCTTGTATGTTTCCTACTCAACATAATTTATATGCAAAAGTATCTATACATTTTGGATTCATAACATCACAAGCTGCATGTCATATAATAAATCATGTGAATGATGATGAATATTTGTGTTGTATTTAGTGTTACAATTAACCTGATATCATCGGTACTTAGAATATTTTGCTAGAAAAATAATAGATTCAAAGAACTAGAACATCACAGCAATAGAGAACATCAGAACAATCATAAATCTGATATCCTCACAGCTTGATCTGTAATGACATTTAATCCATTCCACCCACACAGTACAGGAAGCATCCCTAATATGGATGAAACCACACAGTACTGTAATTCACTTTACGTTTGTGGCAGCAAAAGTTCACGGTCTATGAAAAATGGAGGTGTTCATGGAACTACATTTTTGTATAGCTCTATGTTTTGTTCACAGTGGTGGCAGGTGCAGAAAAAAGAAAGTCAATTAATGGTACATGTATTTGCTAACGATAATGATAAGTTCACAAGTGACTGCAAAAACTGTGAACATAAAAAGTACTAGTACCACGAAAAAATCAGGAATCACAGTATATCCTGGGTCCCATCCATATGAGGAAGATAGCTTAGGGGACGCTGGGTATGAATCATTAAGGAGCATTTTCTTCTCAGTGGGGGTATCGGACCTGATGCTGTGCTGAATGCTCCACTCTCACCTGATTTTGTTGGAGCAGAACTTGTTGATCTGCGGTCTGTTGATCAGGATGGTTCTCTGCTCTCTCTGCTGGTCCGCCAGCTCCGTGGCCCCGGACTCTGCATCGTCTTCGTTACCATGGCGCTGATAGCCACCTGTGTTTCCAACAATGTCTGAGAGTCAATTTCATTAACACAAGGACTTTATATCAAGGAGAGACATCTTTCGTTTCACTGTATGGGAAACAGTGTACCCAAATGGCACACTTGTACATGTATATATAACATCCTTGAAGGCTTGATTAACACAAACCATTCCTGACTTTGTTACCGAAGTATTCCTCTTATCTCCAACTCAGCAAGTACCCAGTACATGCATATGAAAATGGAATTTATCTGACACAAAAAATGTGCTCCATAATGTGTTTGTAAGTCATAATGTTAGATTTTGACACCAAAACAAATTGGATACAGCTTGAAGCTTCCTCTGCAACAAACATTGTAAGTTTAGAGCTCTTCAATACCTTAAAGTTTGTAACTTTCTGCAGACTAAATGAAAGAGACCTGAGGCCATAAAGAATCCAGGTTTGACGTCAGCACTCGATTGGGGCCTGTTACCAGGGGCTAAAGCATGTGAGTTTTGTGGCTATAGTTCCAATCATTACACAGTGAATTATGATAATAGTTTATATTCTTTGCTGTTGGCAAGGGCAAACTATGCACTAGTGCAGAAAAATGACTGTTATAATCTATTGTTATGATAGCCTGTACATCATGGTAGAGCTATGATTGTGAATGTACATTTGTACCTAAACGTTTTTGGCACTAGTTGAATGAATGAATGGTTTTATTCAAATTTAAAATCACTGGCAGCCACATGGCTGAATTGCTGATTCTATTACAGACGTACAATTCATGATAAAAGAAAAAGACCAGTATTAATACGTTAACATTATAAAATTTCATTTAAGCCTTATTTTTCACAGTCAGTGCCGGTCTTGATTTCAAATCTCCACAATTTAAAAACATTTAAGAGATGCGTCTTCGTCTTAGCTAGGTAAAAACGTAATTTAAGGCACTACGTAGAAATAAAATTAGCGTTATGTTTGAAAATATATGGGTCGACTCAAACAGTCCTTCGCACAACGTCGTAACTTCTGAGATTCGAACTAGGTCATACAATTTCTAAAATGGTACACAAATTTTCATAATAATTCACAAAGTTCATCATCAATTTTGCATATGATAGTTCATAGTTTGCAATTGCCAACAGCAAAGAGTATAGACTACATATATAATCATAATTCACTGTGTAATGATTGGAACTAAAGGTACATTACAAAGAGACAGAAAAGCACTATTCACATCAATTTCTTGTGAACAGTATCATGATTATTAGTATTAATTACTGTTACCTGCTGCCCCCACAGCTGGATTGTGACCAAAATATATTTTATTTTTCTCATTGACATCATTAACTTTTGATGGGTATATTCCTTAAGTGCATACACATGTAGTTCATAAATAAACAGCACTTCTGCAGCCTTAAATAGTCATTATTACTGCCATCCTATGACAAAAATGGCAGCTTTTAATGTGCTAGGACATAAAATGACAACACCAAAGAGAATAGTATGGTGATGTGTGCTAATGTAAGTGCCAATTTTCCAGGTTTACTGCTGGTATGACAGTATTCGATGTATAATTATCATGCCAAGCCAGGTCTGATTCAGTATGTGTACAGGCATACAGAGGGTTTGAACAGTGGTAATATTGTATGATTGTAAATGCCAGGATATTAGACAGTCTAACACCTGCCGTTGAGACATTAGACGTTGAATAAGGCCTGTTTAATTCTTATCAAATATGCCATACTGCAGCAATGGTAAACTCCCAAATCCCTGCTTTATGGCTGCAATCCTTCTTCCCGTGTGTGGGCGTGCCACCTGCATGGTCCCTGCTAATGGAACCAGCTACTCGGAATTACATACACTGGGGCAGGATTCATGATGATTCATATTCGTCACACCAGTGCCTGTCTCTATAGCACGGACTGATCACGACTCTTGGGCCAGGGGAGTGTCAGTTTTAGATCCAGCTTCAGGAAGGCTTCAACAGCCGCTGCAGAGCAACCACTGGGGAGCTGCTACAGGGATAGATTAAAGCTTACACGAACAAGGCTACATCAACCATTACCAACATTCCTTCTCTTAGCTGTAGCTTTCTAACCTCTCCGCTGGGATTGATATTCTTTTATCAAAAGCAAGAAGATCTATAGTTACAAGAAAGTTCAAAGAAAAATATGTTTGAAACATATGTTTGAAAATAAGATGTAATGAATGTGACTTTGTTACCGCTACCTATTTCTAGTTGGATCTTCCTGTGAAATTATAGTGTATCCTGTACATTCTTTTCAAGTCCACAATTGACATTGCTGGATGTACAACATGAAGAATTTTGGCATTTTTTTAGATAGAAATCCATCTCATACTAGGATATGAAAGACAAGATATAAGGAAATCTAAGCAGATTTATCCAGATGTGTTTCTGTTACAGTACATTTGGTTTACACAAGACCTGACTGTTGAAAATGAGACAAGGGTGATCATCACAGAGTAAATCCAGTTTCAACATGAATTGATATCATGAACTACATGTACTTAAAATATGATATAGTATCATTTTACTGACTACTGACTACCTTAGCTAAATTATGCTACCCTACACATGCAGCAATACTACAACTTATCATTAACAAGCAGGTATTTTCTTCTATGATATTTTCTTACACTTACTAATACTACAATTACATCTTAACCCTACCTACCCTTTACTTGCCCTACAACAAAGCTACGTTATGGTTATGTACTGCGACGGCACGTTCCACATAATACAAACTGTTCTCGTACCCACCTATACCCTGTGTGCTGGGGTCAGGGGGAGTAGTGCTGTCTGGAGGTGGTGGTGAGGCTGAAGGGTAAAGGTTAGGGGTCAAAGTAGGTCATGGTGAAAGTGTAGGTCATAGGTGAAAGGTGAAATGATAAGTCATGGATCGGTTATGGCTTGAGTGTAGAGCATGGGTAAGTGTCATAGATCAATGTGAAGTCAACAAAGGTCAACAAAATAAGGTCACAGGTCAAAGAAATACTGAGGTTGGTTTATTTGTCAGGGATGCAGTAGTTGAAGGGGTGCAAGAGAAGAAAGACTGATAGAATTTAAGACTATATGTCTATCATCGTAGAAGTGAAAAGTTAAACAAGATGTACAATGATTTACACACAGTATAACATTATTTCTTAATCATAGACCTACAGCACTTCTAGATAGGAGCTTCATACAAACCTGATTCATTATGTATTCATCCCATACCAACATGACAATGTTGTCCTTCAGCTATGCTGACTTGTGCACTACACTACAGATTATGACATCTGAAGGAACATACAAACTACCTCTAATACTACTTCTATTATGGTTATTTCAGAAAAGGACTGTTTCTCTACTTATCTAGATTTGTCATCACCAACTCTTTAAATGCTATAATCATTATAAGATTAGCCCAATCTTACGATAAGTGGATCATACTTTCTCAAGGGTTTATGGTACTTATTTGTATACCTAAGAGTATTACTGGTAAGAACTGGTAAAACACAACTGACAATCAAACACAAGCAACTGTAGAATGAAATACCCCTGTAATGTCACTATCACAAAATAACGTATGGATGAATACGGAAAATTGACAAGTGAACGCTATTAAAGGAAGATATCACAAGATGACACAAATCCAATAAAATGTGGATATGATTGAGACCTGTGCTGATACATAAAACACATTTCTACATAGATACACTTGCGGAAACAACTGAAGTGTCTATTGTAGATTCCATTGACAATGACGAACACAAAAATGTCTAAATAGACATTCAAGACAGTTCAAACCTTTGTCTTCTGTCAGCGTGCCTGTGGTAACTACTTTGACCTCTTCAGTGTCTGTGGGACTGTTCTCCATACCTTATCAGGTGACCAGTCTTTTACAATGGCTATCAACCACTCCAAACAGACCCATATCTCCCAACCGTGATGAACAACATACTGATTTCCTGCCTCATTGGTATCGGCAGGTTGTATCATTCAATTAGATACGAACTCTGACCTTAATGAGCCCATGGCATGCTGGTCTTATTTTTGTGTTTTGTTCACAGCTTGAGCTTTCCAATGAATGAAGGTCAGAAAAAGTGTTTACCTTAAACTTGATCTTTGACAAAGGAAAGTAAACACAGAGGCTGTGATATGTGGAAAGTAGTTGGATAATTTGATGCAATGAGATTAGCAATGGCTGGAACCTGTATATCTTTTTATTGCAAACAGTACATGATACAAGCATAAGATAATCATCATGAAAAATTTAATGTATCTGTTTCTAAACAATATTCTGTTACTGTTTGGTCTCAGATAACTGTTCATAATGGCTTGCAATGACCAAAATAGATGGCAAAATGTGCAATACTATGACAGATTGAAATCTTATGACTCAACAGAACAGACTCTGCTGGATGTACTCCAATGGACTAAACCATTGTGGAGGTGCCATAAATAATGCACACTTCCATGACTGGTGAGGTGTTGGAGGAGTGGAAGCAACCATTACATTAGATCAGGCGACGGGAATTCACAGTTTGCATGAATTTTTCAGTGACTTACAAAACGATGCATAGCACGACCATGGCTCATTACTGATAAGCTGCTATTATGGCTGATATTACATAATATGTAAATGGCAATTCAAATTAGATCTTTCCTGTAATTTGTGCAAATTCAAGCTTTCAAAACAGAGTTGCTGGAACATTGGGTTGGACACCTTTGTAACACAGCTTTTAAGGTGTAAGGCCACACCAATTTAAAATGTTGGTTCACGGATTTGCCCGCTTCATTTTTTTCCGATTTGCAAAACAATTGTGCTCATATTTTGGTCCCAACAGTTGATAAAGGAGGTCCCTTCTCTTCACAGTTGTTATGTTTCTATCAATGCAGTGGTTTGATTAAAGGTTTGAAATTTAATATAATTGAATTACAAACTAGCCTGGTATCGCTCCTATCATGCCATTTGGGGCTATCATAGGATGCCATGGTCTGTTTTTTTGTGTGTTTTTTTCAGTTGCTTCATATTTTTTCTGAGAAAATCCAAGAACCAACAAATCAAATTGGTGTGGCCTACAGGACTGTTGAAAAAGAGCCGTCATTTACGTCATAGCTGGCAGGTGTCACCGTAAACTTTGATCCCACAGCTTCAGGAAGCTCATTTGTCTGACGCAATCAGCCTGCCTCCCCATGAATGAGAAAAACGTCCAGGCTGTACATGTACATACGTCAGGCATGCTGATGGAGAAAGGTCTGCTGCAGCACTCCCTTGAGATCTGAGGCTACTGATTTCACATGTTGAGTATTGATCAAGCAACAGATGTAGATTCAGAAAGTAAAACACTGACATTTCCAGTTTTACAGTAAATTGAACGTTTTCTATTTCAAGCCATCACCATCAAGAGCACACTGATAAACCTTGACTTGATACACTGTTGAATGCAGAGTAAAGATCTGAATATCTTCTGACCTAAACTGATATGAAATGTTTGGACCAGACTTTGAGAATATAAATACTATAATTGGTATATAGTCCACTCACTTTTCCCTCCAGACAACATTGAATGATACAGGGTGAGGTTTCTTACATTATATCCAATCACCATGTGAACTATGACCCCTATGCTGTTCTAATTAAAGTGTCTTCCAAATCCTGGCTCCAAAAACGATCACACTGCCTTATTACTAATCTTACATTGTACAATCTGAAGTTCAAATCATATTAGTCTGACTGCTTCTGTAACGAATGAGCAACCCTGGTCTTATCTAGGCAGACCAGACTTTCATGTTTAGCAAATCAAAGAAGTTTAGAATCTAAAGAAAGCCGCTGGAGAAATGCAGACAAGTGCACTGCACTGGTAACAAGCACTGTTTGGAAGGCATGGTATTAATTAAACCGGTAATTCAGCACCAGGGACAGTACCAAACAATATATTGAAATATAGACCATGCTTTGATGGTTGGTAAATTAATTTCTATAGATGTGTAAGTGCAGCATGTAATGTGTAACAAGCACTGTTTGAATGGAGTATGAAACATATGATTCAGCACCAAGGAAAGTACCATTCCATCATCATCATCCACTGTATTCTGCATCTACAGTCGTATGGAAATGTTCCGTAGCTGCATTCAGTGTTTTAGAGTTAATGGTGCTGGAGACTGAAATTGGGAATGTGTTTTACTAAATGTAAATGTGAAGTTGAACGACCATGCCCCCACCATATGTCCTAGGCAATTAAGATATCCAAGGTAAACCACTGTAAGGAACCATGACACTATTTCTATTTCATGACCTACTCTCATGGGGCCTGCAGCTTGCAATTGATTGTGGTTGCACATATGTGCAATTTCAACAATTAAAATTAGTGGTACTGGCTACAATGTCTTCCACCCTCTGCACAATTTCAAAATGGTCTATGCAAATGATGAGACCATAGTCCTGAAAGGAAACTATCACATATACATAAAAAAAAAACGAGTGCCAACATGCATAACACCCACTAAGGAGTTTTACTTCAGTTCTGCTTCTGCAATGGGAATACTTTAAAGTACAGGTCAGACATCAGTAGCTACTGCAAAGGGTATGCAAATGCTTTGTAATAAAAGACTTTTATGTGCTCTCAGTGGTGGACTCTTCATGTACACGTAAGTGCACACCTTGGCTGTCTGCCCACATGCTTTGACTCTTAACAGAGGCAGCAGGCAGCTACTAGTAGGCAACTGTTGACTGTATGTGCAAGATACATGTTTAGTGTACCCACCGAATTTTTGTTCCAGCAAAGGTATTGTTACCAGGGTATTAATGGATAGGTATCAAAACTAGCAATTGGAATGGTCAACATTGACTCCTTTATATATATTAGTACTGCATGTCTCCCAAGCACTAAGACACAGGCATAAGATATAGTACAGTCAACTGTACATTTATTTCAATTCCTTCCCTACCCCTGTACAATCCTCAATGGTTGGTTCCTAAAGCTAAAATCCAATAAAGGCCACCTCCACACACAAATTGTGGGCAAATCCATACAGCTTTGGACATTCTTTACATCCATGCATCAATAATTATTGGATAGGCCTCCAATCAACTTGAGCTGCATGTAGCTGATTGTGCATCCTGAATGCCCCTGGATTTTACGAGCGAGCTAAGAGAGCTACTTTACTCCTGGGCAACATTTTGAATGGAGCTATCTGATGCAACATTGTCTACACGGCTATCATCATCTAAAACCACTTCAAGTGAAAGGCACCAAGATGTAATACTTCTGAAAGCTGAAACACATGCAAGAATCATAATTATACTAGGGAATGAAGGGGTGGAGGAAATTTCCCAGTAATATTTTTCTTTAGATTTTTAGCCTCCCAAAACTGTTATTCTTGATACAAGATTATGGTCCTACTAAAGGATAGGCATATGATACCTGAAGTACTAATTTCCTTCTTTCTCGTGTTTTATTTCTGGTACAGGTATGATTATGAAAACTATTGATTTCTCCTATATGCCTTTAAGGACTTGCAATTCATTCTGAGTACGTACAAGGCCATGTTCAGAACTCTATTGAACAATCATGTACATGTATACAGGAAATTGGTAAATTGGACACCGACCAACAGCAACGTTGGGTTACGGTTTATGACCACAAAAAGGTCAAAGTCAGACTCGGGATATTCCTACCAAATTGGGACAAAAATAGGTCAACCATTACTGGAATTACTTCTGAATGAATAATGATGGATGTAGATACCCAACTGCAATATTTGTACACAATCAATTATATGACAAAACATAAATTTGTTTACTGGTTTACATTATCTTTTCTTAATATCATTATAGTGATGGAACAAATAATTGAGATTGTATGCAACCTATGATTCTAGTAATAACAATAATCATTTTATAATGGTGGAATTTGTTTTGACAAACTGAGGTATACAGGTGAGACAGATTCACACATTCTCTCCAATAACACATATATTATGAATGAAGAGACTCTAGTGTTGAAGATTCAGATTTCCCCAAAGGACAACCTTTACAAAATGCAAAGCTGCATAAAGAATATTTTAGATACTGATGATTCAAAACCACCCAAACAGTTGAAAAGAAATTGTCCTCTAAATGACAGGGAGAAGGATATGCTATGCAGAAAATCTAAAACTCAAAATGTAACTAACAGGCAAAATGTGTGATTTATACAAGAAGAAGATACATGTCTAGTCCAGACATCATTTAGATTCAGATGAGTTCGTTGTTTTCTTGGATAGCGATGGCCTGTAGTGAAGGAATTTAAGTATGTATGTCCTTTGCAGGGCCTTTCAACCTAATGTGCATATCTACCAGCTTCAGATGGACCCTTCTGGAGCCTTAAAGTCTGTGTGTGTCTGTGTGTGCCTTTTCCATTATGTAAAACCTGTGGGTGGGTGAAGGGATGGCACACATACTAGCAGTAAGTTACGACATACATTGTAGCTAGCAGAAGCAGAATACCGGTATTGGTCTCACAGAGAACAGGAACAGTTTCAAAAATTCTATATTTCAAAATTTTATTCAAAATACAGCTATTTTAGGTAAGCAGCCATGTCATATATGATAGTGAGAATTAGGAAAGATTTGAAAAATCAATTGAAATATATAAAAAACTGAGAATTTTCAAAAAGGTTTATACTCATTTGTAGATGCAATATACTATAAAGTTTAAAATGTATACACACACATATATTCTAAAACGATTAACTATCACAGTATCACTGGTGAAATATGCTGCTTGTCTAAGGTACACATGATATAGTCGCAAAGATATTTAACAAAGAAAATCCATAAAAATGCAATATGTATATGGTGGGCAGACTTTGCCGCCACCATCGCTTGTCGAAACCACCATTCATTTCCGACCAATCTCTGTGGCGCCGCTAATGAAACACGTGGATTCCCAACCCTTCTGCGACCCGTCGAAATGAATATCAATTCTAACGTCACAGTCGGCACAGATTCCCTGGCATCTGTCCTAACATCTGTTATTGTTCACGATTTTTTTGCAATGCCTGCTTTTACAATTAAAAACATCCTGATAGTCAAAGCTATGTCTTAGATTAGAATGCAGTTACCAGTAAGTTACATTACTAAGTAAAGCTTACATTTTGCAGAGACTTGAAAGAACTACATTTTGTATGAAATTTTACATCGCTATTCCGCCTTGTGGAACATATGGTACAAAGTAAAAAAAATTGGTACGGATTCCCCCAAACATATGGCACATGTACAGAAAATCTTGGCAAGGAACAAAATTGTAACAATCATATACATCTAATATTTTCACAATACTATGACACACATGCCAGTGTGCAAAAGTGCCTCTGAATATAAGAACGTAACAACAAAATGACTGCCACCTTCAAATGTGTACCGAATGCGACTTTCAAGTCAAACCATGAATGCTAATGGTAGAGAATTAACCTCACTTGTTTTACTGATAAAATCAAGGGACAATTTTCTTGCCAGAGGCAGGGCTGAATCTTAACTGCCAAATAAAAGAGGTTATTAGCATACAGATCAGTATCAACTGTACAGCACTACACAATGGTATAATTATAAAACGGATGCCCACAAAATTTAACAAGTTGATTTTACAATGGTCAGGGCTTGGGATTGTTGGGAAAAATAGCATTTTTACTAAAATTCTATAACATAAAATGATAAGTGTACAAATGTATTTGTCTTGAAACCTTCTCCTTAATGGCATCTTACACATTCATATACAGATCTATCAACTCCTAGTCTTCCAAATTTTTCACTGTAGCTGGTACTTACAATATAGATGGGTTCAACTAATGTTGGTACATTTCTAACAAAGCAGCACAGTTGTGACTACATTCTCAGCAGCGAAATTCAAACACCAACATATGGAAAGCCATGGAAGGAAGATGCAGTGGCAAGAATCTCAATGTTTTGATCAGTATTCATCAGATGTATCAACCATAACTGTTGGAACATTTTCTGTGAGATATGAATATGTACTGTGAGTATATCAACACGTACCTGTAGCAGCTGCCATCTCGGCCCTTCCCACCCCAAGCCCCAGTCTGCACCCACCATTTAAATGTCAGGAGGAAGACCGGGGAATGACTGGCGCATGCCAAATAGTTCCTACCACATGTTGTAAATAGCAGAGCCACCCTCAGGCAACATATAGTATATATAGCATAGCAACCCATGACAAGTTAGTCAGAGTCTATTCCAAGAAAGAGGCCTTAACCTCAAAACATACATTTATATAAAGGCTGAATGTCACTTCCTTTTTGAACCTCCTTGGTATAACCCTAAACTGCATCTTTAATACTGAATGATATAACATTACAATATACAAATATACAATATGCTCTTTAGGTGAGAATGTGGCTCTTTTTTATTCATTTTTCTTCTGGGTATACAGTGCTGGAATTTTACAATGTAGTACTACATTTACCAATTGCAAATGTGTCAGATTAAACATAAACAGCAGTACATCAAAGAATGAACTAATTTTGTAATTTGAAACCTTGTCAACATTGCTAGCTTTCACTGCATGTATTATCTGAAAGCTTTCATAGCAATCATGTGTCTGAAGAACAAAAAAAGCAAGATCCAGTACATAATACTAATTAGATTCCTTTCATTCTTCACACATTACAGTACAAAGAAACTTAACTACATGTTTTTCAATCATTTTGTCATAGAATTTAATCACAATCTTTGCAAATTATTCATTCTGTCATCCCTGGGTATGAAATGTATTGGGGTTTGAAAAACCCTACAATGGAAATCAAATATTCATTGAAGCCAGTGAAAAAAGGAATCATATGAATCATCAAATGGAGAAATTTTTTTTTCAACAGCAAAAAGAATTCGTATCTGTAGTTAAATCTTGGATACATCCGCAAAGACAGCTGTAATATAATACTCCTGATACAAAGTTAGCTGTCCTTATAGATATTTTCTGTGCCATTGTAAAACATAGCTAACAGAATCTAACCATACCAATTTGATTACCTACCCACCATGGTAGCAATTACTGTTCTCCAATCACAATGGATTGATTCAATCTCAGGTGAATTGATGACATTACAGAAAAGCAAGTTTCATGTACAATTCACTTGAAAAACACTGCAGATACGTTCAAACAATTTTCCTTTTCTACACAAACATCTTGGGTTTAAAATATAACCAGGGGGCACAATTAAAAACCTGGTCTGTTGGGTAATTCAACAGTAGACCAACACACAATTTTTCGTGCCTTTTCAATTTTTCATATCTGCATATCATTTTTGAAAATATTCTAACGACGGAATTTCCACGGTATTTACCACTGAATCGCATATCGACCCACCTGTCATTAATTACCGCACGCAAATACAATCAATTTCGACAACATGGGAAGTGAAATCCAACACTGGTCTGAATTATGGATTCAGCTGAAAATAACTGCTAAACCACAATGCGGTTTGCTGGTGGCCCAAAAGCCAACTTGGCTGAGGGCTTTGTGCAAAGCGATATCATGAGTGAGGTGAGATCAGACGCAACCCCGCTCTAAACGGCCTTCCACCCCACAAATCACCAAGGATTAATGCTATGGACATCATTATATTTTGGTCCCCGCCCCTTCGCGTTTCTACTCATTTTTCAACAATCGGAAAGCTACTGACCTGCTCTGGCGGTAATCTCGGAAAGCTCTTGAACGGGCATATTTGTCTGCCTGTGATCTGTGCGACTAAACCGGCGGCGAATGTCATAAATGGGACATTTTTTCTCGTCAGACTGGATGCACGATACTGTTCCTCAAAAGGCAGCCATTTTGGGCGAGTCTATTCGCGCAGGTGCGATGGGGGAGTTTGGCTATAGGTCAGAAAATAGGAGAATTTGGAGGAATGAAAACTTATAAAAGTTGCTATTTATGGGCTCATTGAATTAAAAAGCGTTTTATAGTTTTCAAAAGACTCTTTCAATAAATCTTAACCTCATAAGAATATTTAGAACTCATGATTTCAGTATGTCTCACATACAAGGAACGGTAATATTGCACAATACTCAATCGCAGGAAAAAGAGGAGCTTCCATCATAACAAAATATTATATCTCTTTATCATAGAATTGCATTCAAACTTTCACAAAAAAGCAAAACTACAACAGCAAAACAAAGTAACGTCCACCCCCATAACATTATGGCATGGACCATTCCCATCATCCACCTCGGAGTGAGAGGTTAAAGGTTATTTCATCTGTAGATCAAAAAAAACTTTGCACGTTGTTTGCAAATTTTGTCGTGTTGTTTGAAGATATTCATTCATAGTTTGTCCACAATGAAGGAGGTACCCATGTCCACATGTGAACGGGAATTTATCCTGAGTGCGATACGAGACAGAAAGGTTGGATACTGTTGTTTCAGTGGAGACATTGTTAGGGGGAGGGGGGCAAACATGTGCTGTCTGGATCTGAATTGTTTACAAATATCATGTGGGACATTTATGTTGCAAAAATGTTGACAACTAGCAACACAGTTCTGCCTACACATCTTTCCTATGAACTATATGTATACATGCCATCTTTAAATCCCTAAGTGTTGTGCTACCTTCATTTCATTATAAGCCAGGTAATAAAAAATTTTTTGTCAAAAACTTTTTGTCAAAAATTTTTTATTGCTATTCACCGTTGACAGGGAGCAGTATGTCAATAGCCATTACCTTTTGTCATTTGTTCCATGTTTGTACAGCGCATCGATGGACGACAGACGTACGACTACCGCAGACTGAAGGTGGCGTTCGGCATGGAGCGTGGATGTTGTATTGTGGAGCTGGGGGATACAAAGTACTCATAGCATTGACAAATTATCATAATGAATATAGTCGGTCCTTTCTAGTAAATCATGATTTATATCTTCACACTGATGATTAACTGTCGGTAGGTTGGAAAGCAACCTTCATTGATTATTGTGACTAAAGATTTAGTTAGCCTTAAAACCTTAGTTCCTACTGTTTCTATGCTGGCAATGTTGATTTGTGTCAGAATTTGTGTTGATAGAAAACTGTACAATGATGTTACTGGGTATTCACCAACACAAATAGACTGACCAATCATTCCACGATCAGGGTTCTAGCTAGCGCTAAGTAGCGTCGGGGCCCGCGACGCTAAAATTTTGACCCGCTACGCCAATTTTCCCCCGCTACGCTAATTTTCAGTACAACGTAGCGGCATTATGACTGCATTTCTTTGTTCAAAAATGCCAGATCAAATGTGAAAAATGTTTTTTTTAGCAAAGTAACGCACGTGGCGGCCCTTCCAGGAGAATGGGGCGTGCCTAGGCGGGGCCTTGGCTTCTTTACAACTTGTGTTGCCGCCCTTCTGTGAGTGACAGCGGCAGTCTCTTGACGCCCAGACACTGGCGTCAGGGTGTCTAGCCCAGTCTGTAGAAGGGATGTTCCGCCCCCTTCATAGTGTCGGCTTTCCCTCTGGGACGCCATATATGGGCTGGCCTATTTAACAATTCCCACGCCACGATGTATGTAGCACAAATATGTTTCCTCCCGTGTTCAACAGATCTCTCCTTGTAACTCTGGACATAAACACCTTCCACTAAATTGCATTAATTCTATATCTTGCCAAGGTGAAAAAAATACAAAGAGTTACAATGTACTTAGTCACCAGCCTAATAATTAAAGTGCTTTACAGTTCCAGCCGGCTCCCGAAAAGGGAGCCCACAGCGGCAAACTTGCGTTGGTTGAAAATTTGCCACTTTAGTAAACTAAACAAGGGAGTTCACCCCTTGGATCCGTTCATAGTTTAAACAAGTAAATACAAATTATTGCTCTCTTGTCAAATTTTTGCCGTTTTTCTTTACGGGCGTTTGTGATCTTTGTGACACACGTGGGTTTTCCTGCCACATATGCGTCAGTGCTGGTGCCATGCCGATTTCATGCTCTTAGCTACTGTGCGATCTATGTCGACATACTGGGTGTGCCTGTAATCATGTCAGCATCAAAGCTTGGCAATAACAACAAAGCCACGTGTTGAATCACGTCAAATTTCGGCCCAGTTTTGCAGAACAGAAATGGCACAAAGGAGATTAAAAGTGCCTCATAATGAGACACTATTAGCAGGCAAAACAGACGTATTTCTTATATTATTTATAGTTACTTTTTTTGCATGTAGAATATTACAACTTTGCACACCATGCTATGTTTAACATTTAATTTATCTCAGAGTCTGTTCTTGGTTGTGTCTGATTTGGAGTATCTTCTGTATTTTGTGAAGATTCCAAGCTGCAAAAATATAAAAATTACTAATCAATTAGGATACATTGTACATACCTTAGAAATGACATTTTTTCCCTTTGGGTATCCCTCAAATGGCTGCTTTTTAAGCTTAAATTTTTAAAAGCTCCGCACCGCACTCCGCTCCGCCCCATCCCCCCTCTCGGTCGCTTCGCTCCCTCGACGTGCGTCAGGTACCACTACGCTAAAATAAAATCCTAGCTAGAACCCTGACGATTGGCTCCTCAGGGTTCTTGCCCAGGTTTCGGGTAAGATAGAGCAACCCAAGAAGAACAGGCCGACAGAAGGGTCCATCATCATCAACCTGGAGCTGTCACCAATGGCCTCTCCTGCCTTTGAACCTGGAAGGTAATAAAGCAAATCCTTTGTGAACTTGTGTGTAAGATAATTAATATGTAAGTTGTCATTGTAATGTATTAATTTATTCAAATTCTTTAGTACTAGTAAACACACTTGCATACTTTCATACTAATCATAGTCATATAAGTTATAGCTTAAGTGAGATGTGTGAATTTACCAGTGGACTCCATTGACATTTAATGTTTTTATTGTGTGGTTATCACAAGTGCTCAGTAATTAAAAGAAAAACTGAGGCAGGAAAACTTCCTGAATTAACTGTAGCATTTCTCCATTACTAGACCCACAGAGTCTGGTATTGAGATGAACAGGATACTGGAGAGGAACATCAGGGATTCCAGAGCTGTTGACACAGAGTCACTCTGTATTGTAGCTGGGGAAAAGGTCTGGTCTATCTCTTTTTTGTCTACAGCTATTTAGTGTCTTTTTCATAAAGTACTTGTTTCTCCAGTTTATGTGTTTATGTGTATCATGAGAGAATTGATACAATGAAGGTTTGGATATGGAGGATATACAGGCTCGGATGATAGTACTGTCATAACAGCACTTTTCTTTCCCCCCAGGTGTGGTGCATTAGAGCAGACATCCATGTGTTAAATGATGAAGGAAACATCATGGATGCAGCCAGCATTGCAGCCATCACAGCTCTGTCTCACTTCAGGTACAGTCATGTCCTCATGTTTTCTGTGTCAGTTTTTCTGTGTCATGCTGCTAGGGTGTGCTCATATTGTGTTGAATGTTAAACTTCATGTTGTGATAGTTCTTTGGCATCAAACTTTGTAATGATTTCTACATTAGGCAAGAAATAGAAGGATAAGGATGGAACTTAATTCTTTTTCCTTCTTAAATTCATAGAAATCAGACAATGGTAGGTACATGTATGCATGTGTGGAAATCATATTGTTTTACGCAGGCTGTAGCACTGCACAATGTAATGTACACTTTTCTTTGTCACCTTCTGTAGGAGACCAGACGTATCTGTGATGGGAGAAGAAGTTACTGTTGTAAGTACAAATATGAAAATGTTTTTTTTTTATGTACAAAAGAAAGTTCTTACCTCCACCATGGCAATACATGATATGGCAGAATACAAATGCAAAATGTTCTTGATACATAGAAAATAGATGTAATAAAGCATACCTTTGTAATAAGAGATACTGGCACTATGTTCTATACAGCATTCACCAGAAGACAGAGATCCAGTCCCCCTCAGTGTACACCACATGCCAGTCTGTGTCACCTTTGCTTTCTTTGATCAAGGGTAGGTTTTGTTTTCATATACAAATGTATGTGTAGTTTGCTTGAAGTTATTTCCTCTTCAAACAGCAAAAACAAAATAAGTTCTCAGTCACTTAATGTCCCTTTGTTGTATTGTTAAGGTTGGTAATATGTGAGGTGGGATCACTGTAGTGAATTTAAAGTTCAACTGCAAACATCTCCTGTTGTATATAGGGAGTTTTTACTTGTGGACCCTACCCGTTCTGAGGAGCGAGTGATGAATGGGAGGATGGTGGTAGGGATGAACATGCACAGGGAGATCTGTACTCTCATGATGAGTGGGGGAATGCTACTGGTCAAGGAACAGGTAGGACAACACTTCAGAAACTGTCTAAAGTGTGCTGGCACTACACTGAACTGGTTGCAAATTAGCATACAGGAGAAGACTTACTTAGACTTAGACTTAGGGGCTCCCGTGTCTCGTGACACAAGAGAAGACCAGGTTCTTTTTTGTGCAGTACACCAGTAGACCCTGCTAAATGTAATGATATCCCCCTTCATGTATTATTTAGTTTTGGTGATAGATTACTTGCTAGGCTTTAATAACACTGCATTGCTGCTATGGTGAAAATGATTAATAGGATCTTACTGTATTTAGTTGGAGACCCTTTCCCATGTACATGGAGGCCCTCTACCTGTTAACATTAGCACTGCAATATCAAATTTGTAGAAACATTTTTATGGCAAATTACAGCAGGGCTTCAAACAGTTTTTCTTCATCACAATGACCTCTTTATCAAACTTCACTGAAATGGACAGCCCAGACTTTTCTCATCTTTCACTTTTTTAACAGTGTCACCTTTTCATGATATTTTTTAGGTTCTCAGATGTTCACAGATTGCCACAGTCAAAGTGGCAGAAATCATAGAGCTGATTCAGAAGGCACTAGACAAGGATGCCCAGGCAAGGTACCAGAAAATTCCCATCTATTCGATTTTCACAAAGCACATTGTTTTATGTATCATATTTTCATTGTTACATGTTGCAACTAATCCTCTTCAAGCTTCACTGAAATGTTGGGTTTTAACTAAGTTAAAACCCAACATTTCAGTGTATTATACGTCCTTGTGGCCTCAACTCATGAGTTGTCTCACAGATGAATGTTTTGAATTTTGTTTGGCTTCTTTTCGTTTAGGCAAGCTGGAGAGAAGTGTGGTTTTGCAGAATCAGTTCCTTCAAACAAAATAACCACCAACAAAAAGGAGCCCACATCTGTAGATACCACAGCAGCAGCACAGCACGCCAGTCAAGTCATACAGGAGGCTGGACCAGTGGATAAACCGTATCCTTTACTCTGTCCAACCATTGCTGCTTAACTGACCTAGTTTGGCAGTTTGCATCAGAGATTCAGAGCAGCTAGGGGGAGTCAGTAAGGGGGAGTAGTGGGGAGATGTGTACTATAAGGTCTGAAGATCTGCATCCTCCCTCCTAACAGAATTGGTTAAATTCTGATCCATTTTCCCATTTTAATTCTTCTTTCATTTCAGTCATTCCTCCTTAACTGTGTGTCACTGTCAGGGTGTCCAATATGCTTGTACAGGTGAGTTCAAATCCTTAACAGGTGTGAGACTGAAAACTGTCAAAACTGAAATTAGTTCGTCATTTAAACTTCAAAAATTTTGAACCTAACTTCCAATATATTATTTGGAATTTCTAGGGTTAATGCTTTTATGGATATCATTCATGTGCATTACCTGCAGGCACCAGGAACAGTTCAGATAGGTGAGGGGCTGGTGAACACCTGGCAGGTAGATGATGAAGACATGGAGTCAGAGGAAGACAGTACAAAGAAGACGGCAACCAATGGGAGAGAAGCTGTAGCTGTTTCAAAACCTACAGAGAGAAAAAGACCTGTTAAAACTGGTAAGAATAGTAACGTTCCTAGTATATTCCTCTTTTTGTCTATCATTTTCATAAGTAATCTTTAAAGCTTAATCAACTGTCAACCTGATATTTAAACTTGTACAGGTGAACATTTTGAAATCAGAGAATTTTAGTGTAATTCTTTGTCAACACAATTCTTGAGAATCTGATCAAGATTTCTTGGTGGCAGGTTGACACCAGTATACACATCTTCAAATTCTCCAGCATTATGAAATGTTTGCTTTTGACACCCTTATGAATCGTAGTTTCCTGGTGATGTATACATAAGTACACATAGGTAACATGCTGTCCACATTTCAGTCTCCCATGCAGAAGACAGTGGCAGCGAGGAAGAAGAAAAAGTTGTGCTGTACCAGGGAGATGTAGAAATGAAGTAAGATACGATTTACCTGTTATTAATGTTATCTATTGCAATGTTATCTAATTCTGAGCACAAAGTCACCACAAGGACAATGTATATTCTGCTTGTTGCAGAGTCCTTCATTTACATGATACAATGTACTTGGCAAGGTAGTCGTGGAACAAACAAGTGGATACGGTGCTATAAAATGAAGATGGAACATGGCCGCCACCACATTAAGCTTTGGCCATAGTACTGTACAAACTACCAATCCTATAGAGGAAACTATGATTTCTTAGCAGAGGTTTGAGTTTGCACAGCACTTTTCTTGTTTGGGACAGCCCATTTGCTGTGGCTTTATGGTTATGTATTCTGGTGCTCACTAAGGATATATTGCAGATCAGTAGTCATAACTCACCTGTGCAAAGCCTGTTCCATGTTCATGACTTTATGTTTTTAATGTACACGATTGAGCCAGGTGCTTTCTGTGAATACAGGTGATAAGTAAAGTTGTACCTTTTACTTCATCCCAAGGGGGTTGAGTATGGTTTTTGTCATATCTGTGTGTTTCCGCACTCCAATTTCCATACATTCTGCAAATGGGAATATACCATCAACAATATCTGACTATTTTCTGCTAATTTAGGTCCACAGAAGAGCCCGATGCCACAACACTCAAACAACCGACATCTTCCAACAGTGATAAGCCAGCCAAGAAGAAGGGCAAGAAAAAGAAAGCTGCACAGAAATAATTCATCAGGCATTTTATACATACTATATCTGTAATCTATCATATTATATGCAGATATGCAAAAACCTTTTTTATTAATGATATACCATTTATCTATAATCTAACCGTAAGTGCTGCATGAAGTTCATTTTTATTTTCATGTAACAAATTCATTTGAAAATCAGTCAATAAAACATCACGTATTACACTGGCTCTTCATGTGAACATTTAAAAATTTGTTGAATTCAAGCATTAAAAAAGTTCATGCCAATCATGCAGTACAATTTTGTACATGATTCTCAGGTTTAAACTATGAGAGCTGTTATACCCAACCACGTTATCATTGTGGCACCAGAACTTCATGTTTATTACACCAGATGGAAGTATATTTGCCATGAATCTGATTCATTTATGCATTTCCAGGCTAATAAAGCAGTACCTCCTATCAGATGTGTAAGAATGCAAGGAAAAACTATGAAACAACGTTCCCTTCATATTGTTTTATTATATAAAGCTGTTCCTATGTGTATGATACAGTGATATAGGTGAACTGTTAGCTACAATGTAAGTGAAGTCACTACCAGAAAAGCCATCAGTTGCCATGGAATATTACCCATGTTAACCTTCACCTTAGCTGGCCCCTGTAACCAACACAAATTTGGCCACAAAGGTCTACCTAGCAGAGAGAAGGTTAACTTTCAGTATGAGAAGGGTGTACCAATTCATTAGACTACAGCTAACAAAGGATGGTATGCAATTCCTCAATTTTGTTAAATACTTGTACCACTTTTACAATAGGATGAAATGTTATACAAGCATCAGGGACAAACTCATACCTCCAATAATAATGACATTTTAGTTCATGTAAGGTCCTCCTACCACTAGTTCACCCCAGATTACAGATGCGGTAAAAAATCTTGACCAATGTTTTACAAGTGGTCCTCTACTACATTGTGATACCAAATATATATGATAAGAACTTGGATGTATACCAGAAAGCTCCTTACTTGACTGCTCCCCAAAATAATGGTAGACACTACTTTGTGAAAAGGAATGACGCACAGTTTCTATTTCTGTTGTGATACTTCTGAAATGAAAAATTCAAACATCACTTTAAAAGTCAACAATGAACTACATCATTGCTTTCTGTACAAATGCAAATACCTGTTTTTTTCCCAATGTACACACAACCCTTCATATCGAAGGATCAAGTTAGTGACAAAATCTGTCCAAGTTTTGCCCTAGGATCCAAACAAATGGTGTGTTACGTTGGTGTTAAGCCGGTGTGTTCCGCTGAAAGGCAGTTGTACTGGCTATACAGATACAGAAATGAGCCCTTCTGACAACTTACAAAGTTACAAATGAGGCAGAACCCTTTCTGTATGAGTACAATTACAACATGTACTATCTTCGGGAGTCAGAGATCAAAGAAGATTAGTCAGTCATACGAAATGACATAAGACTGTTATTATTAAGTGATCTCAAAGGCAGATAAACAGAGCCATGCTAAGTACTCGAAGCACAAGATACATCAAACACAACTTTTCAGCAATACATCAGCAGTGCTGGGCAGCAGTGTGAATAAAGAATTTGTGGAGGTAAAAGAATACTGGGGGGGGGGGGGTTGCTGGGAAGGTGTACAATTGTTCAGTTATTTGGCAAGAAAGACAACAAAAAATGTCAGGTACAAGCAACTAGAATCCTTGGGGACTTCAGACCTTTTGGGGCAAAAGGAATGAAATCCAGGTATGATCTTGCTAATCTTACAGTAAACATTTCATATTGACTTGATTGGCAGTTACACAAAGTTGATGTGGGTACGGTGACATTTTGACTGCATTGTTTATACGTTTAATCACAGATTAAAATTGCGTGCCTTCCCGGGACATTGTAGATGAAATGTCAATAATTTCCATGTCTAAAAATAAGATTACTTTTCCCTGGGAGATTAGAGAAACAACACAAATCCAGTGGATTATAGATCTAATAAACTTATTTAAAAAGATGGGAGACAGTAAGGACAAAATAGAAAATTTCAAGAAACAAATTCTCCTGACTGGTACTTTAGCAGGATAATATTTTATCACAGTATTTCATGTATGATACTCTACATCAATTTTGATGGAATAGTATACTGATGTTGCTTTGCCAAATGTTTTAGTGCTATGAAAGGACAATGTACAAATGTACCTACAAGTGCTACAATCCATGATTGTTTACTTGTAAAATTGAGACACATGCATCACAGTCTTCCTCAAATGACATTTTCACAGTAAGTTATAACACATGAAAATTACACAACACTCACACATGTTGCCATTACTTACAAGGATATTTATATTATAATGTAGGCTCAAAGCCTTATTTCTACAAGAAAAGTTAGACTGTTGTTTCTAAGATAGGCTACTTAGCTATCATGGCCGAAATGTTTTTGGTCGAACTTGGACTTGTGGTTCTTGATCATGTAGATGAAGAATGTCAGACACTCCTTTTCCTGCACTGGAATGGTCTTAAAGTGACGACTCACTGTCTGTAAATTAGAAACAAAAATGACATGAAAACATGAGTAAATACATGTATATGTAAACTGGCTCCCGGTCCCTTATAGAATGTACAAGTTGTCCAAGTAGTGGTGGTCCCAAAGCTTCCAGCATTTAGTAAAGGAATGTTATGGTCTGCTGAGTGTACACAACTACATCTCACAGAAGCTATGTGTTTATCAACAAGGATTTTACTTAGGACAACATACCAACATAAGTATTAAATCAACAATTGCATATTAGATAAAGCCAAAAAATCATGGTGATGTCTTTGACAAATAACTTTTCAGTTACAGACATCCTGGTATGACACAAAGTTGCCAAGATTTTGCATAGTGAAAATGGAAATCACACAGATTTGCCCACAAACTAGACGGGATGAAAGATCAGTATGTGGGTAATCTGTGTTGCACAGGACTGACTCACCTCTGCTAGCTGTGCCTTGTTGAGACCAGGTCGTGTCTGCAGCTTGTAGTGACGTTTGTACCTGCGCAAGGTGTTTACCTGGAGACCGAGGAGGTCCACCTGTGGACACACCCGGTAACAGCCATGTTACAGATCATGTCTGTGGTTCAAGTTCCATGTTCATGCAATAGATTCATGTTGCAAGCAATTGTTACTCTACTACATATATCACACTATTCAATACATGTACTTCAATAGAGAGCACATTTGTATTCCATAAACAAGCTAACATCAGTATTGTAGAACATCTCTAGAAGAGTAGCTACATAATTTTTGCAAAATTGGTTCTGCAGTTTAGGGAGAGCTAAATATGACATGTTTTATGTAGCCAACAGTGATAAAAATTCAGCTACTGTCATAACAAAACTATTGTACAGTATAATGTAAAAATGTAAAAGGGACATTAGCCTTGTACTTGAAGCTACAAAGTTCACTTACATACAGCTATGGTAAAATTTAGTTGTACCAACCTCAGGTCCGTCATAGTCGTGGTCCGGGGAGTTATTGTCGTCCTCGTCACTCAGCTTCCTCTTCCTCTTGCTGCGAGCGCTCTGGATCACACCTTTGTGGTAGTCACAGATGTATATGTGGCGGGCCTGTGGAGGAAAATAAAACACCACATTCAACCATGAATCAAGCAGGTTATACTATAGAGCTTCTTATGTATGGAGGTTATAGCTGGTGTGTTACGCCGAAAGGCGGTTATACCGGCTATACAGATACAGATACAGATATAGCAGCTATAACCTCCTTACATGAATGCAGTCTCCGTCTCTGTAAGGAAGTATTTACACTTACAGTTTCAAAAAGCCTCCCAATGAATAAAATGGTACAAAATCTATCGTATGGGAAAGTTTTTCTTTTCCCTTTTATTTCTACCTGTATTCATTTGAATTGGAGAATCAATCAGGAATGAAAAATTCAGACATTCCTTTAGAATAACTGTAGATGTATTTCATCACTTGTAATTACGAGTAACACATACAATACTAAATGTATCTATCTTGCACTTGGGAGTTTGTGAGTATGGGCTTCGTCTTTTCAGGTGAAGGTGACACCCATAATTTCTTTTTAGCTACGACATGAAAAACATCAACTACTTGGCAAGGAAGCTAGCAAGAAAGCAGATCCAGAATGGTATATAGTCTTGTAGGGTAGCATTAATGTATAGTAGAATGAGATTGTTTTCTTATATCAGATGGGATGGAATTTTTCAGCTGAGCAATTCTAAGCTGCATATATGGGGGTGATCGATCAACACCTCCATGGAGGCCTACAGATAGGGAAAGAATGCTTTGTCTTTGTCAAAACCCTGAGACGATACAGCACAAAATGTACTAGTACTAGTAATTCCTTTCATTTACACCAAGAAGCCTACCTAGAACTGAGGAATCTATGACTATACTATTACTGGAAATATCAATTTGTATTCCCAGTTCTAAACAGCACTTTCAATACAGAGCAGATACATCTTAGCAACATGCCTTTTAATATGGAAATAGATTAGCTAGTGGAACTATCAACACCAACAGACTATCCTCTGTCTACCCCTTCTAGACATACATGCACTAGTATGTGAGACTTCTTAGATTCTGTAAATATTAAGACAAAACACCTTTGTGCCTTCATAGCCCAGCCTGCTCATTTAGCAGATTTCAAAATGCAGCAGAACACCTAAGCATGAAGGACACTAGGCTGACTAGCAATATCTTATTCTTGAAAAATTAAGGTTCTAGTAGTACATGTATCTAAAATATGTCATCATTCTTTACAACTTTAGAAAATTTTGCCTTTTTTTAACAAAACAGGGCAAATTCTAATTTTTGCAGTATCCATCACTGTGAAAATTGTCTATAATATGTTTCAACCGCAATTTTTGGGCAATGTCAAAATATGCAATGAATATTAATAACATGATACTTAGTGCAGACAGCTGATTGGTCGGTCAGCTGTGTGTACATTTCTCCAGTCTGGGGACCCGGAAGCAAATCAAGGCACATTTACCGACGTGTCTACAGCAATAAACTAAAGGATTGCTTCAAACACAGGCACTCTTACTATATTACTCAAGCTAGAGAGCCAGTTTGTTGCTCTGTGGATACGTAAATAAGAAGTCACGATGAGAAAATCCGTGTAATGTGTGGAAAACTCTACCCTCAAATCTAAAACAGCTGACACAAAAAGTCGTCTGCAAATCTGGGCGATTTTCCATCTTGCCAGATCACGGGCAATTCTCCACCATCTTTTAGCACGTTAAGTGCAAATTTTCAGTCACTCATGAGCCCTTCATTGCCAACATCAAGTATACTAACAACAGTGACTGGTAAGGTATTTTCTGGTGACAAAACAACCTGGAGAAAACGGTAGCGTAACCGGAGACGTCTGAACTGAAACGTAAACAGGTCAAATTTTGTCTCAGCTCAGCTGGCTAAAAATTTTACCACGAACGTGTGTGGTACGAAGAGTCGAAGACACTAAACTCTCAAACTTATTGCCAGTTAAAAACAAGGGTTTGTAGTGTTATGAACTCACGCTGTGGTCGATGTTGAGCTTGAGTTTCTTCTGTGCCACGGTCTTCTGAATCCGTTTGGAGTAGGAGGCGTTGCCGGCCATGCGGGAGCAGCGGTCGCCGTCGTCCACCAGGCAGCAGATTTGGCCGTGCCCCGCGTCCCGAGAATCGTCTTCCGTGCTGAAACCGTTCAAGTTGCTCATGTCTGTGGCAGGATATTCAAACTGGGTGGCAGAAGGTTCCGAGACTGTTCGAAACAATGGTATTTTTCAATATGGCTCCCACACACAAACAGTACACAAATTTTTGCTGACGATAGAACCACCCTCAGTACAGTAAGTGCAGCGTCTTCCAACACCGACAGAAGCCTGTCTTATCTGTAGCTTGGGTCACTTTGATGATGGAAAGTCACAGAAGCAACCCTTTATCCTGAATAAGTCTAGTAGGAAACGTTGAGTTCAGCAGACTGGGGGTCGACTCGCGATCCTTTTGTTGACAGTTTGGCGCGTGCTCGCCCCGAAGTGTAACCGGCTTCCCAGATCCGGCTACTCGCCGCCGATGCACAGAAACGGCGCTAGCAGCAGAATAAGGAAGAAGTTACGGTACAAAATGAATTGTCGCACTCCAAGTTAGTCAAGGACTTCAATCATTGACCAGACGACGTTGGAGGGCTATCGCTGCCAGATACTGGGGCTTCAGCAAAGAGAAGGTTCCCAGCTGATCGCGGGCAGGGTGACGCTGAGTCGGGGGATTTCCAGACGATCTTCCTCTTCAAACCGATCTCAATCTAACTCAAACTCTGTAGCAAGATTCCCAACGACACTCTGCACATAATCACTGCGTCAAACAATTTCTTATGCAGTAGACAGCTGACTGTAGGCCCTTTCTTGGTGTCCCCTCCTCTCACTACAGAAGCGATTCCTGAATCGAGTGCTTCGCGGCACGAAAGTGGCACCCGAATACAAACCTAGTCACGTGACAATAAATCTTCACTGCCATTGGTCAGATGAAACATATGTGAGACAGCTGCCCCGCCCACTGAGGTCCCATCACAAATTAGGAGGAATGGTACAATCAGCAACATTATTAGGATCAATTAAAGCACTTGTTTCGTCTCTTGTAGATCAGAAATACCAACACTGATAATGAATTAGAGTATGAAATTATGTTATGGATACACTTATGCTCATTAGACTCAGATGGTATGGAAAAGTTTACCCTGAAACAGAAAATACAAGCGAGGGTATCTTTCAGACTTTCCTGTCCGTATGTTACAGGACGCCCTTTACTCGGTCCTTGGAGGTTTGGAATAAAGATTACTTTTCATATTTCTAGTTACTGACGTTCGTAGCTATTTGCCTGCGTCATTCGAGATCATGCGTCCCAGGAAGCATCCCTGTCGTCAAAATACAACCTGTCAGTTGACGAGGAAGGTTAAAAACATGCTCGCCTTTCCAAATAACGTTTAAAACTATATTATATGTCTTTAAATACTGTACCCTACTGTACTGTACTCTACTATCACAGTTACGAACTTACGAACCTCTGCATGGACCTCTCTGCAACAGTAACCGCTCGCTTTCGGGTAACTTAAAAAGTTCACCAATTCTTTATTCAATAAGCCTTCAAAGGGGCTTGTCCTGTCTTGGTGTTCGGTTTCTATGAATTTGTTTGCCTAAGGAAAAATACATAGAATTAACACGTGTAGGTCCTTGGTTAAAGGTATGTCGTCCCACCTTTTGTCACATAATGCGAAGGGATTACATGTCCCCAGACCGAAATATTTTGCGCATTTAAAGGGACGCTTAAAACAATGATAGCCTAGTTTCGGATTGTCAACACCATTACAAATATTGATAGACTAATTTTCGATTGTCAACATCATCGCCAATTTGAATATGTCTTTTACCTTAGCCAGGTCAGGCGTGTTGTAAACCAAGCCTCTTCAGGTATGCGCCAAACAGCGCGCAACAATAATGGGCTATGGTAACTCTGCCTTGGCGTCTGTATACAGCCCCTTTGTATTGTACCTTGAAGCCCGTCCAAAGCAGACGGACAAAAATTTCGCGCCAAAATCGACGTCAGGGCTGGCGGGAATGTGACAGCTTTGTGGCAAACTTAGCCAACCAATCAGCGCGCGCGTCGGCCACATACGAAAACAAATCTGACCAATCAGGTGAGGGACATTGGAACAAGGCATGCAGCATAAGTAGCGTGGGTACTGCTGCTCTTTACCATAGGCTTCGCTGCAGAACTTTGAGGTAAGTTCACATTTTCCCTACGCATTCTGTGTTTTATCAAATTCTCGGAAAAATTGGTGAAGTGTAGCTTGATGTTATATCGTCGGTTTGCATGAGTTACAATTGCTACGCGATGATAGATGAGTGCGCAGTTGAATTTTTACATGGACGCTGTTGGACGAATCGCCTACCTGTTCAGAGCAGTGCGCACTAATGGCTGCCCAACAAGAATCATGGCCCTTGCACTCATTTAGCTTCCCCTTCGTTTTTCTCCCTTATTTACCTCAGGATTTGCCTGCAAAAACTCACTATGGTGTTCCTCTAGCCTTGATCTGTCATTTTGATTTTTGTGGTGAATTTCCAACGGCGCAAAATTTTTCTACGGCTTGCCGAAATTGGCTCGGTTTTGTATAGGCTTTACCTATGGGCGCCTGCCATGCAGAAACGCTGCCATTTTCTCCCTATGTTTGTGCCTTCCATTGCCTCAGCATTGCTGCCTATGTACCCAGCGTTTGCCCATAGAGTTCCATAGACTTGCACCTACGGCATTTATAGTACGGAAATTTGTTAAAATCTGTTTGTATTTATGAAGAAACGGGCCCAGATCGGCTCGGGGAGGAAATTTGGAAGGGACTTTCTTTCATGGGGATGGATTTGGGTGGCGTGGCGGCGTAAATTTTCACTTTGTTTTCTAGCGAGCTTGCCTCGCCTTCTCTGTTCGCCATTATCCATTGCCAGGCAATGCCTACCCTACCACTTACACATAGGCCTGTACCTCAAGTTGTCGGACTGGGTTTGGAGAATGTTTCGGGACAAATAACCGGGAAGATCGTTGGAAAAGGAGGATTCTAGCGTGGGGAAGGATGGCTTTCCTTTGTCCTCGCCCGTTTTGGAGGAATTTAAAATGGCGGGAAGCTGTTTTTCGGTCTGGTTTGTGGCTTGCCCTTGTACAGATTGATCTCACTGCACTGCTGAATAGCGGGATTCTTATGTTGCCACTGAGAACCCAACCTAACTTGACTAAAGTGTCCAGAAAACGCAGAAATTGAGAAAGAAGGCTTGTTTACCGCCTGCAAGCGGTGGGGGACGCTTATGCGAAGCCTCAAAGGTCATTTTAATGACGGGTGGGAGGTTGTTTTTCAGACAAAATGAGCTTTCTTGCCCGGGATGAATTTTTCCATAGGCTTTGTGTTGGGCCGTTTTTCTGAGCACCTCCAGAGCTCTTGCTAGTGCATGTAGTTGCAATAATATTCTCAGAAATGGGAAGTAATCGTTCCTTTGGCCACAATTTTGCAGGGTGGGCCTATTTTGGGGAAGAAAGCAAGCTGGAACGGTAGCCATTTTGGTCTGGTGGGAGGAAAGGGAGGATTTTGTTGTTTGGGCTGTGCATGGTATCAATATTACAGAACAAGGGTGCAACAGCAATGGCTTCCATTGCACATTCCCATACACAGAAATTCTAAAGGCAAGATATCTTTCAATTTATGAAGAAAAATTACCCTGAATGTAGGCCCTGATAATGTATGAGACATTCAAATTTTATGCTTGGTCATGTATTTGGGGCTGGCACAGTTATTTATGAATCTAATTGAGCTTTCACTGCTGGTGAGCATTCTGCCATAGGCTTTGAATGGGAGCCTTGTTTTTCCTGTTTTCGACTTTCTGGTAATTGTTAGGGTTACTCATGGCATCACTGAATTCTTGCAGGGGAAACTAGAGGCACATTTTAAATGGCATTACTTGGTTTTTGGGCTCGTTCGGAGTTTGTTTTTGTGGGGGTAATTGGGCAGTTTGGCTGGCAGTGACAAAGGATGGGAAGCCCAGCAGTACTGTGACTGATGTGTGTAACACAGTAGCAGGACCTATTCCCTTCAGTATTGTGGAGATCATCCTCATTTCTGAATTTGTCAGATTACCACCTAAAAATGTGGACAATCAATTTGTGTTTTGTTGATTGAGTCCGGTTTTGCGTATTGGGAAAAGGTAAACTAGTTGATACGCATCAAAGCGTAGACTTGAAACATGAATTCTGCTTTGAACTTTGTGTGCTACAAGTTCTTGTTTTCGAAACCAAGCTGTTACTAGTAAATTGCGTGATCTGGACGTTATCAAGAAATTCGTCACATGGATGAATGAGTAAATTCAGTTGATCGTAATTGGGTTATGAGCAACTTCTAGAAGTAGTGATATGTGTTGTAATGGTAATTACATGTTCAGTACAATTCTACAATTTTAGTTCTGAAACCTCTTTAGCTGAATGTCAAACAGTTTTCTTGATTCTGCAACAACAAGTTGGAATTAGGCAAGAAATACAGCATTCAAAACACTTAACTACATCTATTCTATATTTCAGTCTTTTTATCCTTCTTTCATCAATAGTTAGTGGCCCTCCTAAGGCGTTTACCTGATTTGATAGTACACATGTTGGTGTTAGGGTCATATAGACATTGACACATACAAAATGGGAAACATTGAAACATAGAAATTGTTGATTTTTTTTTTCTGACTTTCTAGTTCCAAGAAAGGGTTTTGAAGCCAGTCTTTGCATCCCAGCATAGTGTGACATGGCAAAACAAAAACAAGTTGTCTGGCATAGGGGAGTGTTTTTGCACTGCAGTTTGTTGGCACGTGTACAATTTAGCCAAGGCAAAAGTGGGCTCACAGATGATGGTGACAGATGATGGTTTAGGGCAGTATCAGGCTTTTGTGCTTTCCTTGTTTAAAATTAGACATATATGCATTATGACACACCACTCGGATATACTGGCAGCATTACCAGATGAAAATGAACTCTGGCATGTTGGTGGGTGTTGCAGGTCGCTTGTGTTGGTACAAGTTGTAAAGTAAATATGCCCCAAACAGGTCATGTTAAGAGGATTGTGTGTTTTCCAAAATTTTCCTGGCTAATTGCAAGGTAACAGGAGATGTGTAATAGATATTGTAATTATTCCAATTTGCAGTAATTAACACTTTATAATTATCACGCCAGTCTTTGTTACTACTGTGCTTCATAAGTGCCATGCAATTAGATTTCTTATTCGGCCATTTCAAGTCTAAGAAAACTCTCGCCAGGGCCTACTTGTTACAACAAGCAGTTTTCCAATAATCCTTAATTGGATTTTGAGCAGCAACACACCCTGTGACTGAAGTGTGTATTAATCAGTCTGTTCTGGGCCTATAATGGCATCATCACAAACCATGTTGCTAGCTGCACTGAGTATTTACTGGCCAGCATCTCAGAATTGTCCATTACAAAGGAGATAATCGTGCTACAGTTTATCTAATTCATAACACAAGCTAATCGTACTAATGCTTCCAGATTTTTTTAGTAAAATCTGCAAGCTCTACTGGTACCATTTTTATCCAGGATGAATTTAATACACTAGTAACTTATTTGGAGTTGATTTCAAAGTAACTCAGTGGAAGAAAATAAAGCCATAGGATCTAGCAAGCAAGTCTTAGTGTTAAGCTCACCGTGATATTTATGTAGTGTACCACAATGTATTGTACATATATGGACGTTTGTCGTGTTACCATGCTTGATTTGTTTCAATTTTTGCATGCTTGTTAAGGGTGCATCCTACAGTGTCTTGAAGGACTGCATGGCTGTCGACTTATGAGCGACTTAAACTTTTTATTGTTTTTGTAAAAAGAATTTTCCTTGTTTCAGGTGTTAACCCATAGAGTATCAAGACAGCCATCATGCCAAAGGACAAGAACAAGCCTAAGGGAAAGATGTCGGCGTACGCCTGCTTCGTGCAGGAGTGCCGCCGCGAGCACGAGAAGAAGTACCCCAACAAGCAGGTTGTCTTCACGGAGTTTTCCCAGAAGTGCGCTTCGAGATGGAAGGTGAGATAACTGTAATTTCTCTGATTGGCTTTTGTAAGATTCGGGAAGTAATCTTATAGTTGCCATTGATCTTTACTTCTGTTACACAAGTGTAGGCAATTTAACTGTAGTATTTACATGGTAAGGAAGGGGATGGAATGTTTTCATTTTTGCAGTGATGTGACCATAGACAGAAGGAATGAAAGAATTTTTTTTCTTTTACAGACCATGAATGATGATGAGAAGAAGCGCTTCCAGGATCTTGCCGAAGAAGACAAGAGGCGGTACGAAGCTGACATGGCCAAGTACGTCCCACCCAAGGGTGCCGAGGGCGGCCGCAGGAAGAGGAAGAAGAAGGACCCCAACGCACCCAAGAGGGCCATGTACGTGATGTGATCATGTAGTCAAATACTGCTAACAGATTTTCAACTTGATCCAATTTGGCTCTGATTGTGTTCGTTAATCAAATGGCGGATAGAACAGTTTGGAGAGTTGCCTTGGTCCGGGTAAGCCGGCAACGACATGATGTTATTCAAACATTAAAATCCTGCATCTGTGTCATTTTTTCAGGTCTGCCTTCTTCATGTACTGTGCCGATGCTCGCCCCAAGGTCCGCGCAGCACATCCGGACTTCCAGGTCGGGGAGATCGCAAAGATTCTTGGGAAGCAGTGGAAGGCAATCTCCGAGGCCGAGAAAGCCAAGTATGAAAAGAAGGCCCAAACTGAAAAGGCTCGCTACCAGAAGGTGTGTACAATTCTTACATGTAACTGTCAAGAAGACAGACTTACTTGTTACACTATGTAGGGACAAGAACAGATACATATACAGTCAAACCTGTACTAGCGGTCACCTTTGTATAGTGGTCACTCGGCCATAGAGGTCAGTTTTTGCCGGTCCCTTGAATTTTTCCCATTGACGTAAGCATTAAGAATCGTGTCTATAGCGGTCACTGTTCAACGCGGTCAGCGGTCACCCCATTCCGGTCCCGCCGGCATGTCAACACCGCCGATAGCGGTCGCGGCTGGCCGTAACCCGCTAAGCACCACGGCCGTAACACCACCCCACCTCGGGCTACGACCGTTATGAGCCTTGTGATAATTTTCCGATCGCTACATTACTAAAATGTGAACTGAAAATTAAACTCCATATGTGTATGAAATAAAGGAAAACTGGCTTTTGACACGAAGTTTCTGCGGTCGCGGGTGTCTTTGATATCTGCGTTTTCCCCAACACCAGTGCCGTGCGTGCCGCATGGAGCTTTCAATGGACTCGGCCGCTCGGCGAAGATTACGGCAATTATCTTTACAAAAAAACTTAAGG